AAGTTAGTGCAAATCCTGCATCTGGCATCCCTGCTGCGACACACCTGAAGCAAATGAATGATTGCTGATGAGGCCTTTGCACAGCCTGAGGTAATTCAGCCTTTTGATCCAAGCGTTGTATGTTTGGAGATCCTCTTACTTTGCACATTGAACACAGCTCTTAGTTTATCTGTTGCTTTTTACAATTTGATTTCACCAATTCGATGACTACACTTATTCTGTGCCACTGGAATAAATGGAAACACATTAATCATATAGAAGATATGCAATGGGAGCCTCTGTTAAATCAAGGTGGTAATTTTTATTTTCATTCTACTGCTAGGGTCGGTAAAGCGGCACAATCCCGAGGGTAGTGATGGGTCTGACGACACTGAAAAAATGAAAATGCTTTAAAGTGAATAATCCCATTATATGCAAGTTTCATAAAAAGGACCAGAAACTATTAATGTGTCGCTTATCTGAAGGGAATGTCTGCATAAGGAATATCGTCTGATTCGAGACCTCCGGATGAATTTATGTACGATCTAATTGCACTTTCGATTTTTCAAGATAGAAATACGTCAGAAGGAAGAAACAGCAGCATTCATCTCGGCTGATTTGTAAACAGTTAAAAAAAAAAAATACAAGTCAGTTTTTTTTTTTTCTTTTCTTATTGCCTTGGCGACCTTGGCCCAAAGATGTTAACGCAGCTGATGTTTCTAAATAAAAATGAACCTTGTCCAGTCTGTTTCCAGTCTTTATTGACGTTGTCTGCAATTACCTTTTACATCCAGCAGATGTCGCCATTGAGTGATACAGCAACACAGTTTCAACACGGTGTCGACACAGTTTGGGAAATGTGCCATACACCCAATGGGGCCTCATCTGCCCATCACTAGCTGAGGGAGTCGTTGCCACATGGCGCATGTTTTCTGTGGCTCTCAAAATGACACGGCGTTAGAATAGGGCAGTGTTTCTTCATTCCAGTCCTCATGCCCCCCCGCCCTGCCCTGCACGTTTTAGGTGTTTCCCTTTTGCCACACACCTGGACTGAATCTGTGGGTGATTAACAGGCTTCTGCAGCAGTTGGTGGTCGTGCAATCATTTGAATCAGCTGCTCTGGAATAGAGGCACGTCTGAAACATGGAGAGCAGGGACGCCTGAGGACTGGATTTGACAAGCGCTGGAATAGGGTGTTAGCATTAGCACATCAGTGAACTGCTTGTCCGCCTCTCTGAAGGACCCACAGAACAGAGTGATAACAAGATACTGCTAGCAATGAGACATTATGCTTCTCATCTCTCCTCTCCTAATAACAGCTTTTGATTTTGTGATACTTCAAAATTGACTGTTACTGTTACACTTACATCTTCTGACAAGATGGGCCGTGGGTGCATTTTGTGATGTCATTGCAAACACTCCATAGATTTTTAAGAGGCTTGATGGGTCTGCATACCTCAACCCCAACATCCCAAAAGGCTGCAAGATAGCTCCCTTCATGCACCGGCTCCTCCGAGAGCCTTCGCTCTCAAAAGTGCAAGTTATTGTGACCCCACTTCCTCTGAGCAGCTGCACATTTGTCCTCCTCATCCTGATCAGTTAAAGTAGCTCTTTAGGCTTTCTTCTGACAGCTTGACAGATACATCCTGGATTCCAGTCTGCACCTTGGAAAAAAACAACAAAAAAACCCTGCAGAGATCCTGGACGTCTTCTCCGTCTCCCAGCAACCGAACTTGGGTACAGTTAATGAGCATTCGCTGTTCTTGCTGCATCTTGTTTCCCAGAGATAACTCTCTGATTTTGGGACCAGTACAGATGAGACCAGATATTTACATTGTCTGTTATGGTAACCAATAATCCAACATTAATATCTTTATTGGTCCTGATATTGAGGAACAATTCTAGCCCGGGTATCAGTGAAAATGTGCCCGAACCATAAGTCTGTGCTTTGTGATCCGAATGCTTTATTATTTATTTTACAATATATTTAGAATTCCTAATCGCAGTTGCTGAACTATATAAGAGAAGGTTTTGTTGCATGTTTGATCAAGATACTCAGCCAGTTGCTTTTGTCAGTTTCTCTGTTATTTATCTGATATTGGCTGTTCTACTCCTAACTGCAGTGACTGAACAAATTAAAGATGTGCCGTTTTCACATATAGCTTCTGAAGCTATTGGCATATTTTATTGTGCCTGAAAAAGTGTAGAATTAGCAAATAAATTTCCAGTTCAGTACATTCATATTTTTTTTTTTTTAAAGTTATAAGTCAATTTGGCAATGTTTTATTGGATCGGTATCGGACGATATTAAACTTCAGATGTCTGTATCGGTATCAGAAGTGAAAAAAGTTGCTTAATTTCAGAATAATGAGACTAGTAAAGACATTTTATTGTTCCCTTCAAAACTAGACATTTACTCACACTAGAAGAAGCCATTTTAGCGTCATAGATATTGTTTGCACCCGGATTGCACGTCCTTTTTCTTTTATTTCCTTCGGCTTCACATGCTTTTGCAAAGTTTTGAGTACTAATCTTCCAAATAAGACTCTTTAGAGGTAGATTTTGAACGATATGCATAATTTGTAGAATTTCCAACCTTTAATTAGTTTTTAATATACAGTCCCTTCAGAAAGTTTCACTTTTTGCTTTCATTTCTCTTCAAACATTTCCCTCTGGCTTTAATCTGCACATGGTCTTTGAGTCCTTTTTAGCTTCTGTCTGAAGCCATCTTTTTGAGCCTCGTTGTGGGGCCATAAAATATTCAGTCATTGTGGCTCTTGGATGTTTTTGAGCACGATGCAAACATTGAATGTATTCTCCTCCTCCCTGCGTCCAAAACCTAACTCCCGATGTGCTGCAGATGTGTTGAGATCAAAGAGGCTATTTCCATCTTAACTGATCTTCCTGTGTATCCGCGATGTTCTGATTTTAAGAAAAAATATTTTTCATCCGTGCTGGATCTTGTAAACACTGTGGCAGACCTTTGGGAGTTTCCACACATGGCAAGGAAGTTGTTTCAGAAATTATTATGCAATATTGTTTTTCTTTGAGGAAAGTCGCTCTCCTTCCGGCAAAGAAAAGACAGAACGAGAATGGGGCGACATTAATCAGCGTTATTACATCAAGCGCTACTCGGAAAGCGTCAGGCTGTCTTATTAGATACGGGCCTCCTTTTGTATTTCATAACAAGATATATTTAGATCATGCTGGAAACCGCTGCTTAAGGCAGCAGTAACACATGAAGTGAGATGAATCCCTCTGGAGCGTGGTTGAAGACAATCTTTAGGTTGAACTCCTATTCAAGAGACTCGTTTTACCAATTATGCATCACCGATGGCTTAGCTTTTCACTGTTTCGTGGCACATCTCAGTGAGTTTGTGTCTACATATAAATTCAGTCTCGACTGGAGATGTAGCAGGCAACCTCTTTGGTTTCCTACCTTTAAACTCTGGGGGTTGTATTAAAATCGTCAGCTGTTTGGTTTTCAAGACATTTCAGTTTTCGACACATTTGCCTTGACGTCGGGATTTGAATGATGGCCTGTTGTCTTGGCTTGAGCTTCTTAAAAGGAAGTTAAAGTAAAAGGGGCTCCTCGCTTTCACACTACTTTTGCAAAGAAAATGCACGCTTTCTGTCGCCATCAAGGTTCTGGGAGAGTTCTGGCTGGGTAGCTGAGAAGCCCATCTAAATGAATTGGTTTCCTGGCTTTATTTTGAATCTTTTTTTCCAACTTTTAAACTGGTTTTCAAGTATTTTCATAACATTGTCCTGTTGGAACAGTAAGCTGTATACATTTTTTAATCAACCAGCTGTTGAATATGTAGGGAGTACAACTATTAGCAAAACACACTCATGATACCGTCACCACCGTGCTTGACAACTGATCGTTTTGCTAAATTTGAAAACCTCGTCTTGCCTCCTCCATATGTTCTTCCAAACGTTGTTCCATCAATATTGATTATGAGTGCATGTACCCTTCTGATTGTTTAGTTATTTATTTTTTGTTTTATTTGCTGAATTTACAAACTGGTAGCTGGAAGATTTCACTACACAGAGCATTAATATTAATATTCTCCTGAGTAAATCACTGTAAAATCAGAAGTGTTGTTTTTCTTCAGCGACAGAGGAACGACAAATTGGATGCAATATGTCATATTCCAACAGATGTGCAAACAATCTGGTGCACAGACACAACACGATATGGTTTTACTAAACTGAGTGAAGAAACTTTTCTGATTTCTGGTTTCTGTTCACCACGTCTCCCATGCCGGGCTGTGCAAAACTTTACAAGAAAATGTAACTAAAAAATTATTTTAAGACTCACTGAATGATTTTATCAACACAAAAGCCAGTACATATAATGATGCTACATTATATGTACTGACCTATTTTATAATATAAAATAAAATACAAAACAGAAGACAAAGAAAATAAAAAACAGAGAGAAACATGTAACAAGATTTCATTGAATAAAAATGTGTTTATCGTAAAAGATGCAAACATTTGTTCCAGCTTTATGTCTGGAGGGCAAATTGACCTCAACTTTTACATTTTTTGATCTTTATAGTTAGCTGACAAATAAGGAGGTAAAATCTGCAAACACACTGAAACTAGTAGCTTCCTATGACAACCAAAAATGTGGTGTATTTTGCACGATGCAGAGACATTTTACGGTTAGCAGAGCGTCTCCAGAGAGTTTACAACAACAATGATGGCAGAAGCAGCTGCTCATTTGGAATTGATGAGGGCAAATTTGGCAGCTTGAAGGTGGCGCTTGTCTGGAATTGACAGCAGTGCTGATTAGGAATCTGATCTGCATTTTGTCATTTGTGGACAGAGAGGGGGGGAGAAGAAAAATAGCTCATCCCCTCACATCCTTTTTTCCAAACTGACATAAAGAAACAAAAAAAGCTTCTTGGATAGATAAATTTAGCTTTGCTCAAGAATCTTCATAGATGTGTCCATTGAATGTACACATTTCCCTTCCTCTCTCTCTCTTTCCCTCCCTCTCCTCTTTTCAGCTTCATGTACGGGGAGCTCACCGACAAGGACACGACGGAAAAAGTCCGACTCACGTTTGAGAATTACGAGATGAACTCATTTGAAATCCTGATGTACAAGAAGAACAGTAAGTAGCGGTGGCAAATGTGAAGGAAGAGAGAAACGAGAGTCTCCTCTCCTTTGTAATTCAAATGCACTCGGAGCTCGTGTGGCGCGGAGCCGGAGTTCAAAGGCAGCCCAGAACATTTCACCATCTGTAGAAATGTGCTAATTGGTTTAAGAGCCAGACTGGAACTGAAAGACCTTCCAAAGGAGAATGTGGTTCTGTTTGTTTCAACATGCAGGTGTGGATTAATACATTATTACAGTCCCTATATGTAATGGAAAAAACTGATACAAAGGCTTACAGAAAACTGTGATCAATGAAAATAGACTTTGAAGGGTTTTTTTATTGCTTTCATATGAAATCAGATAAATATTTCTTGATGTCAATTTGAAACACTAACAAAATTTCATGGATTTCTTTTAGAATTAAGAAATCTGTGAATTAGTTTTAACAATGTCTAAAATACTTCCTGAATGAACCAAAGTATCTTCTCCCAGGTTTGTTGTTTTATTAACTTTTTTCCTTTGGTTTGACAAAACTATCACAAAAATTTCACAGTCCATTTAATGGTTTAACTTGTGCAGATCTGATGTCACTTATTTGAAGGGAAACATTTTTCATGACTAATTTATTTAACAATCTGGTTTAAATGAATTAAACCCAAGTCTATTAAAAAATAAATATTTTTTAAGTGTTTTCTAAGTCTGGATAATGTAAGTTGATCCAAGCAGAATTGTTTACTGTGACAATTCAACCACTCTACTCTTCACCTATAAATAACTGCCTTGATTTCATTATTTTAAATTAGCTTGATGTCAAAGCAAATATTTTGATTCTGAAATTATTGTTTCACTTTTAAAGTTAAAAAAGATGAGAAAAATCGTGACGTGAATCTCGCGGGTTACAATCAGAAAGAGCTGTTGTATGTAATCATTGGAAAACTTGACTCAAAACTGTAATGAGCTTTGAATTAAAGATAATTATAATCATAATTTCTTTTTGCACTCGTTCCAACAAGTTGTGTTGATTTCCGTATTAATAAAAGAGCCATTTCCTCCCACGCAGATGACGCAGCTAAACTTGTTCTTCTGCGTTTCCAGGGACGCCGGTTTGGTTTTTTGTGAAGATTGCTCCCATTCGAAACGAACAAGAGAAAGTGGTTCTGTTCCTCTGCACGTTCAGCGACATCACGGCCTTCAAGCAGCCCATTGAGGATGATTCTTCCAAAGGTTAGACCCAACAGTTCACCATTTGTTCAGCAATCAACATTTATACCGAAACATTACTAACACAAAATACCTGGAACATAATCACTTCATCTTTGCTTTTAAACATGAATAAAAACCCAGTTTCACATTGGCTACTCTCTTTCTCTCACTGACCTGATGTTTCTTCTGGTTTTAATGCTAATATTTGCAAAGCCAGTTTCCCATGCTGTCCTGGTGGCTTATTATATTCCGAAAGACTTAGAATTGCTATGATTGGTACCTAAGGTTTCACAAAGACGGGGAAATAGAAAACAGAAAATGAAAAGGAATACCTGAAATATGATCAAATAAATAGATGTACTCAAACTGAACCCGAAAAGAAAAAGTTTGAAGTGATTAGAGTTGCATGTGGGTCTGTAAACCGCACTAGAAATTTGGTGCAGGCTCAAAAGAGGCCAAATCACCGTTTCGCTTTTAGTAATAATTTCAAAACATCAGGGGGAAACTGTAAGAAACATGGACCTCCTAGAGGACTGGTAATGTTAATGAAAATAACACGCTAAATAAGATTGTGGCAAGGAACATAAAAAGCTTAAAAGGTTAGCAAAACATCTTCTGCATAGGGATCTGTTGCCTGGATGTGAAGATGGGGGAAAAAAGAAGCTACTAATGCTTTGTACCGATTATTAGTGAGTAGCCTCTCAGCAGAAAGAGAGCAAGGACTCCAAGGATTTAAATACATGTTCTTGGAAACACGCAGTACCTGCAATCTGTTTGTGCGAACTCCAGGTTGGGGGAAGTTTGCCCGATTGACTCGAGCGCTAACAAGCAGCAGGGGAGTCTTACAGCAGCTACAACCTACAGTTCATAAAGGAGAGAATGTCCATAAGCACTCTCGTCTCGCTGAGGTAAGACCGGTTCAACCCTCAGTTGCAGCACGTTGTTAGCCAAGAGGGACCAATGTGCGTATTTTTCCTCCAACGTCTTCCCCTGTTGCACGCTGCAGGTGCTGCAGCTTGGCTCTGACATCCTACCTCAGTACAAACAGGAGACCCCCAAGACCCCTCCTCACATCATCCTGCACTACTGCCTCTTTAAGACCACCTGGGACTGGGTCATCCTCATCCTCACCTTTTACACGGCCATCATGGTGCCCTACAACGTCTCCTTCAAGACGAAGCAGAACAACGTGGCCTGGCTGGTGGTGGACAGCATCGTGGACGTCATCTTCCTGGTGGACATCGTCTTGAACTTTCACACCACGTTCGTGGGGCCCGCTGGCGAGGTCATCTCGGACCCCAAGCTGATTCGCATGAACTACCTGAAGACCTGGTTTGTGATCGACCTGCTCTCCTGCCTGCCCTATGATGTCATCAATGCCTTCGAGAACGTGGACGAGGTGAGTCCGCCGCGGCCCGAAGAGGCGCTGCTCAAAGTCCAAGTCACCGAAAAATATGTACATTGAAAATTTTATCACTTTGAAATAGGAATGTGAATTTTTGTTTTAGGTGAAAAATATATTCTGAATTTATTCTAACTCTGAAAAAGTAAATGCTAATATACAACATTCAAATTTCAGAGGCATTTTTTGTTCAAATCCTGATGGCACATATTTACTTCCATACAGGCGGCTCATTCGGGAGAAAAAGCTCCTGTTTTCAAAAGCACACTGTCAATTTAAATACTTAAATTGACAGATTATAACTTTTAAATTACGTATTAGGTCACGTTTAATTGTCAATTTATATTAGAACGAAGAGCATGCTCACTTATGAATTACCTAAATGTTTTTTTCCATGGTGATGAGTGTTTGTTGAAGAGCCATCACAGGATGTTGAGATAATTGGCACATTTTAATTGGCAAAGTGGCGTTTCTCCAAAGGTCTGCGACACTGAAACCCGAAAACCATTAACGCCTTCTGACAAGCTGACCAGGACTGACTCATTGGAGGATGTGGTTTAAAGGCTTCCCCTCTTTTTTTATTGTAGTCGTGCTGAGCTCTACAGTTTTAGCTCGATTTGCTATTTTTATGATTTATTTCAGGTATAGTGAATGAGGGGGTTTTTAAATATCTGTCTTCTTTTTTTTTTTTTTTTTTTTTGATTGTCCCATTTTTCTCTTGGAGAAAAGAGTCCCATAAAGTTTATAGCACTCTCCAGGATTATTAGCAACGCTTTTCAGAGCAAGGCCTTGGAATTAAATTTTCCTTTTATTGCAGTAGCATAATTTAACACAGATTATTTTTTGTTTTTTTTAAAGAACGCTTTATCCCATACATATCGAGAGCATCCCTTTTGTCTTTAGGAAAGCGCTAACTCAACATTTATGGTGTTTTACGGAAAAAACAAGGACAATTTGAGCATTCCTCCTTGCAAAATCCCAATCATCAAGAGAACTGGGTCTTTGCTTTAGCCCACCGCAAATGTTTTCTTTTTAATTCACATCTGGAAAGGAGGCTGATTTTGTGTTTGATAAAGGAGATCTGTTTATTAGGTCAAATTTGATGACACACTATTTGTTTTTTGTTTTGTTTTTTTTGTTGGAGGCTGCTGGGCTTTCTAATTTAAAGAATTCACAACCTCATGCAGTCTAATGAAAATCCCTGGGCCTGGAAGAGAAACAGGCCCACAGCATCATTGATCAATTTAATGATTTCTCTGACTATGAGTGAAAGATCAGATGAGCAGCCAGAAACAGTTGGGTTCAATATAATACCAGTGTGTTTCAAAAAAGCCAGTAGAGAGCAAAATCTGTATAGTACTTTTTATTCCCTTACACATGCAGTAGCGATACTGCGCAGTGCACATCCTGTTCCAACAAAAAACAGAATTAAATATTTATCTCAATTTATATCATTCTGCAGACATTTGGGAAAGGCTCTGATTTTTTTGTTTGGAAAGCGTCCATTGTAATATAACTTAAAAAAAAGTACTCGACAATTTAAATTCCCCTTGAATCGCTGAGCTAATTTTGAGTGGCATAACCACCGTTTCTCTCTGGCATCTTGGGAATCATTAAATCCATCCGAAGTGTAGTGTAGTTTTCGGTTTTCTTCTACATCTTTATTGTTTTTGCTTTTCATCTGAAAAGTGTTGTTTTGAACACTTCTAATCATTTCCAGTAAGTCAACACATGTTTGACTCATTGATTCTTTTATTCTGAAGAATGGTTCTTCTTCTTCTTCAGATTTTAACGGCAGCTCGCATCTATTATTGTTGCTCTACTGCCATCTGTTGGATCCTACTATTTATTCCTCAAATTCTCCCAATGAGCCCAGTAGTTTTCAAAAAGCGAAAAAATCTCTTTCCCTTCATTACTCTATTTAACTGATCAACCACATTCTCAAATTTCTATTCCCTATTAAAACCTAATTTCGTTGTTCATAATCTTCTTTGACTTAGCGCAAGGATTTCTGTGTCACGTCATGTTATACCCCAGGAAACCATGAAGACAACGATTACTAATGAAAGGTTCCTAGATGCTGGGAATTGTTAATGGGCACCAGTCATTTTGACTTTGCTTGAAACGATTATAGTTATCCTACTGCAATAAAAGATTGTGTCTTTGTACACCACTCTTTCTGTTTGCATCATTTGATGTCAGTGAAAAAGATCAAATAAATAGTTTAAAGCCCCTTCATGGAGCCAGGAGAACGATTGATCAAGATCAGTTTGGAAAACCTCCATAAGGAGATGCATTACCTACGTTTGAGTCAATTCACATTGATTCGACTCAGCTCTGCGGTGTAACTTTTGTCAGTTTTCATTGTGGACCATTGTGTGCTTGTGTCCCTCAAAGTGCTTAAATGTGTCACGGTTCCATGATTCATGTGTGTTATTGTGTCAACTGCTGCGGTAGCATTTAATGTCTCGGCGTGTCAGAAAGAGTCGGGGTTTCAGCTCTTGGGGACTATGAGGTTGCTCACGGAGTCTGACGTGACGTGAAAATCTGCACTACATCTTTAAAATAGGGCCTGGAGTGCGGACAGACCGCATTGATCTGTTTCTGCAAGTCCAGCATTTTGGTCCTTCCGGGATCATTCAGGACTGCAGCATCTGAAATGCTGACAAGTTCAAGTGTGGCAGAAATGTTCAGAGGTTTGCGAAGAGAGCGAAAGCGAGAGAACTTTTATGGCTTCAGAAGATGCTGTTTGGCGTTAATGAGACTTTTTTGTTTCGCTGAGAAAAGCAAAAGTTTTAATAGCATTAGAAATGAAGTTGTCAAAATATCTGAGCGATAGTTATGTGATATAATTAAAGTGGCTAATTTGGAAACATTCATTAAAACTGCTTCCCATTGCTTTTAGAGTAAAAGAAACAAAAGCAACATCATGTTTTAGTCTCCAAAATGAAGTCAAATAAATTATATTTATTTAAATTTAATTTTAATAAATATAATCCAACAATGCAGGTTGTGGGATTTTTTTTTTTTTTAAGATTATTGAACGTATAATTAAAACCAAGAAAATTACTAGCAACAAAAGCAATAAGCCAGGAAATAGACCTAAAGTGAGTAAATCAGTGAAAGGTATAAACATTTGAACATTTCTGGACACAATATTAAATGTTTTTAGGAAAACTTTCAAACCTGTACTGACTCCATGAAAATGTTTTTTCAATCATTTCCCTGGATTTCATAAAATACTGATTCACTGGGTTTTGAATAATTACACTTCATATAGAAAATTGGATTTTAAAGGTGTAAAAATTTTAAGACTTTTGGTTTGTCGTGTTTTTTTAACAGTTTAACTGAGAGGTGTGCTAAGAAACACATTTCTAAGATTTTTCTCCCACTTTCTGCCTCCAACGACTCAGTGAATCCAGTAAGTTTTATATTGGTTGAAGGGGATCGTGCTGCTGCTGCTGTTGCTGCTGCTGCTGTTGCTGCTGCTGCTGCAGACCTAATGACTGGCATGAATAACTTTGATGGCTGTTCCTCCTCAGCAGGTCTCCATTAAAGAAAGAGTGGATGATGATTAAAGTTATTCATGGCGGTTTCTAAGTTATTCTTGTTCAGCGCATGCCTTGGTCACACTGTGCACTTTGATCAGTTTCATTTTTGATTGTTGGATTTCTTCTTTTTGTTCTTCTGTGTATTTATTTGTTGCTTATCAGTAATTAAGTATTCTTTCTCATGTTCCTTGCTTTTGTTTCTTCTTTTTCGCCCCGCCGCCTCCCTTCACATTCTGTTTGCATGGCCTCACCCTCTTCCTCTTCTGCCTGTGTTCATGCATGGGACGTGATGGGAAGAATTGGAACCACCGAGCTGTCACCCAAGTAGGCCTCAGTTTGATTAGAATATGATAATGCACCGTTTTGGGTTTTTACGTCACACATGCACTCTTCACAAACATTTTGGATAAACTTCTTAATTAGGCTTCAGAAATGGCATACGTTGCACACTTTACGTTACTCTTGCAGCAAACGTTTGGAAATTTGTGGCAAATCTGAGCTTGGCTGCATCCTGTTAATGGCTGTCAAAGACGGTCGAGTCACAAGACTTTCCTTTTTTTCTTTTTTTTTTAATGTCAAGTTTAATTTTTTAATTGCAGTATCAGAGCTATGGGATTAAGTCTTTATATTAGCGGTTTTGGATTACTTATGACAAAGCTATTGTAATTAATTTGACTCATTCCAGCGTTAAAGTTGCAGACGTTACTTCAAACCACAGTTTCGTGAAACGAAGTTGAAAGTCATCTGAAGGCTTTTCCTTCTTTCCTGAACCTAACTACAAACCTTAATGTGCTCCATTTGGGTTTTGGTTGATAGAACAAAACAAAATAGTGCATATTTGTGAAGTTGAAGAAAAATTGATGCGTCTTGTTTAACAATACGACAAGCATTTGTCAGTTCCGTGAGTCAATACTTTCATTGCATTTACAACTATGGGTCCACTTTGCAGACTCAAGAATTGTACCTGTATTCATTTATTTTTTTCGCAAAAGTGCCAGAGTCCAGTGTGACGCTGTGTGTTTTGGAAGCCAGGTTTTCTTTCAGCATTAGCCTGCAATTCATCTCCCTATCAACTCTGATCAGCATCCGCGTTCCTGCTGAATAAAGCATCTCCACAGCAGGATGATTTCAGAGTCATGTGTAAAAAAAAGAGTTTTTCTGCCAGAAAGATCATTTTGAATGGAGACCTAGAAGTTCATTTTTGTTCTCATTTGACTAAACGCAGCATCTTACACGTTTGCTGTGTTCAGTAGATGAGTTCAACGAGACTCTTGTTGTTGTTTTATGCCATGGTTGCATAAAGACCCGATTTGTGAAGTTCAGAACTAATAGTTGTTCTGTCAACAGATTCTCCCACATGAGCATATGATATCTACAACTCCTCCAGAGTTTCTCTTGTTAATTCTGTCCATGTGTGTCAGTTTAAATGAACAGCCGTGTTAGGTTAGCACCTGATCTGATGCGCGTGTTTATTGACTTCATGACAAACCTTTCTGGCATGAACAGAGCAACTGTGTTTGCAGTGGATCACCCATTGACTCTGTTGATTAATTAAACTGAAGGCCATTGGTTGCACTGAATTCTGTTTAGGAGTACAAAAGTTAAAGGGTCTGAATACAAATGCACACCAAAAAGATTGGAAAACCAGATATTATTTTCCTTCTGCTTCACAACTATGCATTGTGTTGGTCTGCTAATTAGATTATTAGTATAATAACTTGAAGTTGTGGTTGTTGTAGTGACAAAGTGTGAGAAAGTTAAAGGTAATTTATATTTCATGTGACGTGATAAGTAGCGAGAGGTCAAACGTCAATAGGAAGTAAAAGACCAGTGAAACTTTCTCCAGCAAAGGTGCCTCAGAAGTACGGCAGGTTGAAGGCTGTAAAAGCCCAAATACCAGAAAATCTCAGATAAACAAGCAAGTCATAAGTTCAAAGCAGTCTGAATCTCAGCAGGGGCTGATGAGACACAGGTGGGAACAATAAATATAATCACAGGAACAGAAAAGTGTAGGAGCAAATCCAGATATAAAATCCACGGGCAGACTGCTGAAATAAAACAGAACTCGTAAGATAAACAAGGCACAGAGGGGCCTAATGAATTGAAAGAGACACTTACTGAGACTCTAACGTTTGCACTTCATGACAAGTGAAGCGAACAGCATCAGAAAAAGAGATAGCGTCGCTTTATTGGTGGAAATGCAATAACAAGAAAAAAATCTGCTGATTCTAAGCAGTATATAGAACTTATCAACGTGTATTTTATTCACTTATGAGCTTTACTATGATTTGTTGTTCATTATGAAATCCAATCACTCTTTTATAGACTAGTATAAGTTACTACCGTAGTTCAGGTGTACCAGTAGCAAAGAAAGTAAGCAAAAGTAAGAAAAAGAAAACAGAGACTTAAAAGTAATTTCAAGCATAAAAAATTAAAATAAATAAATTAAATAAAAATCTGTGCTTACGGAAAATAGTGCAGATTCTTAATTTAGTGCAAATAAATTAGCTGACTTATGTCAAAAACTGATTTTGTATGTAGTCTGTTTGCAAAAATGTGCAAAAAAGAAAAGAAATAGAGATATTGAAGAACGACTGTAAAAGAAACTGAAATCAGAAATTGTCAAGAGAAGTAGTCTCTGTAACGAGCTCGGCAGATGTGCAGGTTCACCAGGTGTTTGCTAATTGCTGCTGCCGCCAGTCGGTGGAGCTGAGTGGGTGAGCTGTGGGGGAAGGGCGCTCTGTGGGAACAAGCGTTTAGGCACCTCAAAGAATCAAAGCGACACTCTAGGAATATATATATACATACATATACATATTTAGGAGGGAATAACATGTAAGGCTCAAAAAAGTTGTCTTTTCTTTTCATAATATAGCCCATTCGCTTTAACGTTGTTACACAGCAACATTTCACCATTTCATACTTTTTTTTATTCAGCCTGTGAAAGAAGCTCAACCAAGTCTCATGAGGTCATTGTGTGTCTTAAAATGGCAGCGTGAAGTATGATGAGGCTCCTTCCGTTGTCTTTGTTGGCCCAAAAAAACCGGGCCGACGTTTGTTTGAAACTGCCCAACTTCTGTCCCAAAAGCACAAACTCTGCATTTGGGTTAAATAACAAGACAGCCATCTTGTTTGTAGCAATTCATCCTCTAAGTTATGCAAAAAAAAAAAAAAAAAAACACAGATGACCTGGAAGATGACAAAGTGACAAAGTTTCAGGAAAAGAATAAATAAAAACCTACAAACAGATGACGCTGCAGAGGAGCAACTAATTAGATTATTCTGAACAGGATGTGAATAAATTATGAGAAACTTGTGGAAACTTCTTTCCTTTGTTGGATTGGCCCCGAGGTCTTTGCGGTGCATAGCTGCTGTAGTGCTCTTTCTGCCTTTTCTGAGTGCTGTGAATCATCTATTTTTTCACCACAAAGTGATAAGTTCACTATTTAATCCTCACATTTGACACAAAGGGGATGTATTATGTAAAACGTTGATAGGTGTCAAATACGTAACTTTATTAGCCTTACATACGATTTATCAGCTTTGACCGAATAAACATGCTCTTTTTAATTTAAATATAAAACAAGCATCTGGATCCATCAGTAAAAAACAGATTGCCATTCATTGTTCATAAAGACACATGGCATTTTTTTCTCACTGTCTGACATTCAAGCTGCAGTATATAACTTTTATGAAAAATGTTTTCTTTTTTTATGTATTTGTTAAAGCTGTTATATGCTGACAGTATAGTATGAGACATAATCTATGAAAAATCAAAGCTCTTCTGCCATCTTCATGTGGTCCTACTGCCATCTGCAGAATTGCGGTGCAGATGGCGATCAATCAGAGCCAGGAGGAGGGGCTTAGCGCTGTCAATCATTCTCATGTACGTTCTTTAAATCAAACAAATGGTAGCAAGTTTTAGGTCAGGTCATCAAACTTATTTTTATTTGCCAAAAGCCCAGAGTAGATAATGAGAAGCATTTTTGAACGATTTTCTGTATCATCTTGAAATTCTGAATTTACAAACACTTAGCTTACTGTCCATTTAAGCAAACAGGGAAAACTCTTAATAGGTTCATTAACAACAGCTGACTTAAACGGAAGCACAACTTTGGATGTATTTCAATGCCACGCCTCAAACACACTCCTTCTATGACATCACCGGAATATAAAAAAGTGATTCAGGCAAGTCTTCACAAACATGTCTAACTACCATACGGTTCAGGACGACCCCAGAACACAAGATGTCTTTTTAAGACGCCGATTGAAGCTGGTAAGAGAGAGCAATTATCCACAGTAAAACAGATCCATGTATTGGGCTGAAAGGCCTCTCAGGGAGAAAGAAGCTATTATTACAAAAGCAACATAAAAAGCAAGATTGCATCTTGTAAGCGAACTTGGAGGCAAAGACCATAACTTTTGGAGGCATGACCTCGAATCTATGAAACTAAAATTAAAGTGTTTGCCCCATAAAGGCCGTCGCTGCGTTTGAAGGAACAAGGAGGAAACTTCCAAACTTGAGAAGCATCAATCAACTGTGAAGGAGCAGCATTATGTTGTGTGGCTTTTTTTTTTTTTTTTTTTTTATTTTTTGCTACAGGAGAGACTGCTGCACTTCACAAAGCAGATTGCACCATTCGATCAGAACATTATTCAAAAAGATTCCTCTCAAAACCTCGACTAGGAAGTCAAAGCAAAGGCATAAAAAGTTTTGGTCCAAAAGCACGTTGACCCCAAGCGTACCACCAAATGAGTTACAAAATGGCTTTAGGACAAAAAAGTCAATGTTTAGTAGTGGCCATTACAAGTGTCTGATCTAAAGGCTGAAATGTGATTTCATACAAGCTTAGAAGTTTAGGTGTCTGATGGGCATCTCTGACAGATCAAGTGACAGCCAACACAGCAGTTGTACTCGCATTGCAGACCACAGCACTTTAGCTAAATCAATACCCAGATAGTGCACAGACACACACATAAAGAATACCAACAGCACTGCAGAGCAGACTGATGGGATTGCAGTTGTCGCTTTGAATCAGTGAGCGGGCGTTTCAGGTTGCAGCTGAGCTGAGCAGACATTTAGCCTTTGGTTAGAGCTGCTTAGAGTTGTAAAGTTTTATCATGTCGTAGGAAAATGCTTTTGCAATCAAGACTTCATGATTTTCTTTTTTTTTTTGTTCTTTTATATTTATTATGCGCTTGTTGGTGCTGATAAAACATTTAGGGTGGATAATTTTTTTGAGGAGGATTCAGTTTTTATATAGTGACTACTCTGAAAAGCTTTCAAATTTTTTCAATATATTTTATGTTTATATTTGCTGTAGGTTTTACTTCAAAATTCAGATGTTAAAAAAAATCTGCGATGGGCATAATTTAGGCTGATTCATTTTATGTCAACATGCGTCAGTGGTCTGTCGTCCTCGCGTCTGTTCAAAAGGAAAGCAAGTGAAGAAATTACAGATAGATTTTTGTCTCGTGTTAAAAATGTAGAAAGATATGCTTTTGATTACTACAGATTTAATCTAACCCACAATACATAAACATTGCCCCAAATGTGCAACAGAGAACATAAACAACAACAAAAAAGAAACATCTGCAGTCCTTATCCAGCTGTTAAAACTATATTTTGAATTTTTTAAGTTCACGTTTCAGTAACAAAACTAAAATGAATGTTTTAATAAGCAATATAAGGAGTGAAGAATTGAGTCGAAATATGTATTGTAATTTGGACTTTTATTTTCCTGACAAAAACAGATATTTTTTATTGACACTTTTGAGCACAAACATGAATGACAGGAAAAATATTTTTAAACTTTTGCATATTTAAAAAAAACAAAAAACTACTGAGAGTCTCCCAATGCTCTTATCTGATATGTTTCCTGTTTCTCTTTTCTTCCAGGGGATCAGCAGTCTGTTCAGCTCTCTTAAGGTAGTCCGGCTCCTCCGTTTGGGTCGGGTCGCCCGTAAATTGGACCACTACATCGAATACGGGGCGGCCGTCCTGGTGCTGCTGGTCTGTGTTTTTGGACTGGCAGCACACTGGTTGGCCTGCATCTGGTATGTCTGTGTGTTTGTCCCAGATCAACAGAACATTACATAACGCTTTTTCACTCCGCAATATTGCAGCGCATTGATTGCAGAGCCATTTAATATAAAAGAGGTCAGTGGTGAAGCTGATCTGTGCATTAATTATTTATTTTTTGCAAACACGCTTGTTTTCACTCATCAAACCAGGATCTCAAAGGCTAAAGAGTTATTACACTTTGAGGAGAGTTATTATTTTACTCATTAATATGCAGATTTATGGAGATGGGTCTCCGTAAATCTAATCAGATCATCGACGCAGCAGGGGCTCTATAGAGTGTAATGGCGGCATTAAGTTGCCATCATGTGTTGTATCTGATTTATTGTGCTAATGAGAAGATCTACAAACATACTGATGCACAGATTATTTATTACTTTGTCTATTTATTGCTCCTCCCAGTCTTTTTTTTTCTGTTGTTGTGAATAATGTACTAATCTTTTCTGCAGATGTCTTTCAAGGAAGACACTTGTTACAAATATTCACTCTCTGCCAGTTTCACTCGGAGGCTCCAAGCGGCGCGGTTTGCATCAACCGTCGGTCCAGACAGCATAATCAAACCTGAATAAATGTACCTGATGGTGCTCCAAAACCAGACAACGATACCAGTAAAAATAGCTCCTCTGTGGTTTCAGTGGTTGCCATGGCCACACGGGGAGTCGCGTCGGCGACTCGAGAAAAGTTTAACCGTCGTCAGCAGGGATGACAGCAGCAACTGCAGGAGCTGGCTTCCTGCTCGCTGCCTGTCATTTTCTTTTACGCAGAAAACAATGGAGGTGGCTGAAGTGTTAGTTTCACTCTGGGGCTGGAAAAACAAAAGCATTTTCTTGCTCCTGAATAAGAACACTGGAGATTTTTTTAAATTGTTATCATTGTTGCATAAAAAACCCCCAGAAATATTTTCTAAAGAGTTGAATAAAGGAAATCAGGCAAAAAGGAAACGTGTAAACATTGCCTCATCCAGTTCTGTTCATTTATATTCTGGAGGCCGAAAAAACAAGAAGCACCTTTTATACAGGAAGCCTGGTATTTTCATATGCAAATAGCTAAATGAGACAGGTGCTCCTGATGATGAATTGTTTTTTTCTATGCATCCTGGATTCTGACAGCAGTTAGTGATTTACTTACTAAAATATCATTAAAAAAAACCCCACATGAACCCTAAAGATTACTTCTTTTTTTCTACAAAAATAAAATGTCTCAAACTGCAATGACTGTCATTTGCTTGGGATGCCTGTTTTGACATTATGTTTTGTTCTTTTGGCACAAAAACGTCTTTATCGTCTCTTTCTCCATGTATTGTTACTATCATTTGTACTTTTTTTTTTAATCCTAATTTAGGGTCTGTTTTGGTTTTCATCTCTGTGTGGTCAATTTGTGCAGTGTTGCTAATTGTGTTCTTGTATATTTCTATTTTTAGGGATTTTTCTTCCATAGTTATTTAATTATTATGTCAATTAGTTTGTGATCGGAGTGGTTTTCTATCTTTTTTTAATTGTGTTTTCTCAAAGTTATTACTCTGTTTTTTTTCTACTCGTCTTCCTTTCAAAAAGCTTTTTTCTTTCTGGTAATTTTACATGAAAAACAATTAGCCTCATTTTGTCAAACTACAATGTAAAATGAACAGACAGTTGTGTTGAGTTCAAACAATTCAGACTTTGTGGTGAGACTAATCAAATCGTACAGAAAGTCAGGGGATGAAAAGGGTTGCATGAAATGTTTTTCAGTATGGATTCACATTTTTTTTCTTTAATATGCACACAACAGCAAAAACAAAGGAGTAAAGGACAAACCAGAGTCTTTGTAAGCTAAAAGTGCTTTTATAAAAATCAAAAATTTTGAAATGCTTTCACGTCTAAGTGAATTGAAATCAAAACCTGCAGTGGATTGCACATCTTATTACATTTATTAATTGCGTAAAAGTGTGTAGCCTTTATAAAAAATATGTTTTTACATATTCGTTGGAACTGTGACTATACTGCGACCGTATGGTATGAGACAAATAATATGTGGGAAAAAAAAAAGTCAAGCTCCTCTGCCTAATCTCACGCTAACTTGAAACAATCAAACTGGGGATGTCTATAGTGTTACTCAAAAATGTTGAGCAAAACTAATAGAATAATAAAAATGTCATCCATGCTGTGAACTAATGGCCTAACAGCATAACAAATGAAATATTTACAATGATCTGACAGGATATGAAGGACATCAAGAGGTGAATTATACTAATGCAGGATCGTGTCTGGCACATGTGTGCAGTGTGATAAATCACCCTGGTCCAGGGATCTGCAGGACAAAGCAGGATTAGTGGTTTAGATCTGGATTCTCATGCTCCACAAAGCCGGTTCACTTCTTAAATAAGTTTGTCACCAGGGGAACTGATGTTGGTCAGCTAACCTGCTCTAAGCAGATAAGAGTTTCTAGTTGGAAGAGATGAATTGCTGTGAAGTTACACCAACAAAAACTTCAAAATGGACCTAAACTTGAACTCTTAAGACTTGAGATAAACTGTTGGAAGAAATGTTTAAAGAGAACTCTTTAATATTCCTGTATTAAATTACGCCTCATGACACAGTACAGGACGAAGGACTTCATGGTAAAATGTATTTTTTTAGTCATAAGAAACTTGACTTGGATTTGACACTCAAATAATTGAATTGGAGTTACTGTTCATTCCTGTTTGGAGGTGAAGACTCCAAAGGTTTTTCATCTCGATAACTTTTATCCTGGTAAAATAATATAAAGGTTTTTAAGTTTTTTTTTTTTTTTTACATTGTCACTTGTTGAACTTGACTTTAGAGACAGAACATAATCTCAGATGTTGAAATTGTTTTAGCTTTACGCTTTGTCGTTGTGTTTGGGTCACAGATTCCAAATCCATCCATTTTACATGAAATTGGACAGAAGCAATACCTAAAACCGTGAGCTTTTTCACTGAGTTGACAGCCAGCTTCATGGTACCCACCATAATATGCACTGCTGGGGTTCTTTTAGTGAGATGGGTTTGAGAACGCTTGCGTTTCTTGAACCTGCTTTGTGTCTCATTCAAGCCGTGGCACAGAACAAACAAAAAGTACAGACAGAATATGACCAACAAGGAGGGCTTCTTAAACTTTTTATGTTCCTGATATTAAAGTTCTTAACTATTTAATTTTAACTTATGAAATTTAAATTGTTCTCAACTATATCTTTTGTATCTTTTATGTGCAAGCCTTAAGTAGAAAATTAGATTCAACGTGTGGCTATTAGATGTTTGTTTCCAGTAAAAAGTTGCATAAAGATGCAAAAGAGGCACTTTAACCTTTCCAGGAGGCGTTGCTTTGGGAGCTCCACAGTGAGGACATCTAACCTTTAGCACATTTACGTAAGAGCAGTCCCGTGTGGACGTCAGCTTCGTTTTTATTCAAATAAAGGTTTCATTATTGGCTCGGCCTTCCAGGGCGGCTGCATTTTTACCCTCTCTTCACTCTGACTACACAAAACTGGGTCATTGGGATTTTTATTCTCATAAAAATTTAACGTGATTCTTTAAAGTCTCAAGACGATCTGGAAATTTTTAGTGTGTTTACTTGAGCTGCAAGACACGCTGTTGGAAATAACTTTTTTTCTTTAAGAGTAATGTTTACTTTCTCTTAGGCCTTTATTGATATGTTTCACTTGAACCCAAGTAGATCCCCTAACTTCTATCCACTAGAGCTCGTCACTGCTGTACCTTATGGCGTAAAAACAACATTATGAAACACGATAATTGTATCATTATTTACCCTCAGGTATAGCATTGGAGACTACGAGGTGATTGATGAAGAAACCAATGTTGTCCGCATGGACAGCTGGCTCTACATCCTGGCCGAGGCGATGGGAAGGCCCTACCGCTTCAACACCACCGGTTCGGGGAAGTGGGAGGGTGGGCCCAACAAAGACTCGGTCTACATCACCTCCCTGTACTTCACCATGACCAGCCTGACCAGCATCGGCTTTGGCAACATCGCTCCGACGACGGATGGGGAGAAAATCTTCGCTGTGGCCATGATGATGATTGGATGTGAGTGGAATGCGTTCTTCCCAGTGAGGCAGATTTGTTATGCTTTTAAAAGCCACGATGTTGACATTGTTGATGGAGTAAATTATGAACGGAGCCGTCAAAGTTTAGAAAACAGAATGCTGACAGATGAGTAGCAGTGCGGTCCATTATGCTGTTCAGTTTGAAGGTCTAATGATTTATGGTGACAATTACCTGTCCTCAAAATCTCAGAGTAACTGACCTCTGCAATTAACCTTTAGACAGACATCCTTAAAAAGTCGTAAGTTTTAAATTTATGTATCAAAATTAAAGCTTTAAATGTCTTAAATTTAATCTGATATATTCTATGGAGTTTATTTTTGTCGCTGTACTATTGTGTCAGGCAGAAGTTTGCACGCAGACATCTTCATTGTGCTCTGTGACTTGAAGTTGTCGATGCTACTGCTAACTAGCTACCAATACATCTTTATAGCTATCTAGCCAGCTAGCTTTTTTCTATCAGTCATGGGTTTAGTGTTGATGTATTGCCAGATGACTGGACGACGTTCATCTTTGCCTCTGGCTCAGTTTTGTTGCGAACCTGTACAGCTGTAAAGCTTAGCGCTACGACTACGTAAAAAGCACCGTTTTCTATTGTACATTTATGTGATGATGCAGGTCTTCAATTTCATTCATAATGGTCTTAAATAGCCTTAAATTTGAGTTGGTGAAACCCACAGAAACCCAGCATAAAGCAGTTCTTCGTCTTGTTCTTCCTGAGCTGTAAACGAGGACACTCTTCCTCCAACAAGCGTTCGATTGGCTCTGCTGGCAATAACATAAATGACTTGAAGCCTCATAACTATTATAGTTGAAGTTATGTAACAGCTTCTTGGAAATACATAACTGCATCCCAACTTTTATGTCAACGGCAGAGAAAGCGCTAATGAATTCCACCCCTTAGTTTCCTTTTCAATCTCATCAGCGCTGCTGTCAGCTCCACTCAGTCCGATTTAATACAATGGCATAAAGTAAAGTGACATTTCACTCATTTTCTCAGTCTGCTATGTAATAACGTGTTAAAATATTTAGATTTTCTAGCACATGCTTTCTGTTGTTCTTTCTGAAAATGGAAGGCCCGAAATGGTACATAAGAAGCTAAGGTAGCAAACTTTAGAGCAAATTCAACAGTTTACACAGCCTTGTAAAAGTATTTACACCTATTAAACTGTTTTGCTTATTTTGTCATGCTGCAACCACAAACTTCAGGGGTTTTTATGGGCTAATAGAGCAACACAAAGTAGCTCATAATTGTGAAGAAAAGGAAAAACAGCAAATTCAATTTTCTTAAAATTCTCCCTTTATCTTGATACCCCAAACCAAACACACTTTTTAGAATAAGTGTGAAATGTTCTACGAAGGTTTCTCCATCCTGATTGAGTGAAATATGGCAGTGGCAGTCTTGGGAGAAAACCTGGGGGCAGAGGTCAACCTCTCAGCAGTACAGTGGCCCCAAACATACAGATGAATAATTTAAATCAAAGCATTTTCAGGTGTTATAATGGTCCAGTCAAAACCCGGACCTAAATACAAAAGAGAATCTGGAAACTGAAGTTCACAGATGCTTTCCATCCAATCTGACAGAGCAAGAGTTGTTTTGGAAAGAAGAATGGACAAAAGCAAAAGACTTACTCAAATATTTGTTTGAGGAGAACAAATGCTGAACATAAACACGTAGCATAGCTTCAAAAAGTTTTAAAACTAGATACAAGTGTCATTTTAAATTCCCATTCAATAAGGTTTGAATTATAAAGTAACAACATTTCAATACACACTCACTCTGCAGGAGTCTGATGTGTAGGACTAATCTTGTTGTCGGGTTGCTCTTCATCCGTAAGCTTTGAGCAGAGGTATAGCTTACCAAAACAAGACTTCCATCGACTCCACTGTCAATACCAATAAAACAATTGAGCAGGTTTGAAACCTCAGCACTGAATACGCAGAGTTACATAACAGCGTCTCGTTGAAATGAAGCTGAACAGAGCAGCTCGATATGGGCTAACGTTCTGTTGGCGAGTAGCAAATATTTAACATGATACAGAGATACAAGCTTTGATGAATTCCACCCCTTGCTTTCTTCTGCAACCTCATCAGCGCCGCTGTCCGATCCACTCAGTCTGAATCAATACAGCGACATGAAGTATGAGGACGTTTTAGTCGCCGCTGTTTGAACACAAGTTAAAATAGTGTGATAGGAAGGGAACGTCTTGGACCTTAGAGCAGATTACTACAAAGGTTTTCACATCCCTTGAACATTTCTCCATTCTGTCACGTAACAGCCAGACACTTAAGTGTACTTTCTAGTACATTTTTTAAAGTGTGGATGAAAAGCTTTTGATCGAAGGAGGAAAGCCAAGAAAACTTATAAACATTATCTACACATTAAAACGTGGTGGCAGCACCAGGCTGCAGAGATTCTTTACTGGTCAGAGCTCATGGAAAAGATGGATATTAAAATACTTGACATTCCTGAAAGAAGACTTGTTGGAGGCTGGGTGAAGATTCACCATAAACACATATCCTTATCTACAATAGAAAGGGTTAGAATCTATAGAAGGATTTGTGAAAACGCTGAAAAGTAGATGTGATCTGATCCGATATTACGATCGGATCGGCCATAAATATCGAACCTATCAGCCCCAGCATCCAGTACACAAATAAATGTGTTTGTGTCATACACATTGTTGTCCACTATTATTGTCTGTCTGAGTTATGTGACTTGAGCAAGCCGTTTCTCTACAAAGTAAGTAATAAAATTAGGCTACTTACTGATAATGTATTGGGCCGATATCAGTATCGACTAATTGTCAAAGCTGCAATATCTGTATCACATCGGAAATGAAGAGTTGTATCGGGACACTTCTAGTTGTGACAACTACAGCAAATTGTGGAAAAGTTCAAAGGGTGTGAATAACTTTGCGAGGCACGAGGCACTGGGTGTGTTTGCTTTTCCACCTCACACAATTGTTCTGGGTTCTTGTTATGCTGCAATTACTGGATTGGAAGTTAAAATCTGCAAACGGGGGCTGAAAATGCTCTTCCTCTCCGCCGTTATTAACGAGGATCTCGACTTTTGCAGCTCATAAAGCCGCGCACACAGAGAGCCACCCTCAGCAATAACAGACGCCGCCAGATCAATTTAGCGCAGCGCTCCCTCCGATCCCACCGCAATCACCCCTCACCTCCGCTGCACTTTTGTCAGCTACAGCCTCAGCCCTGAACCCCCCCACCCACACACACACACACACCCTCCACACTCCGGTTTGCCTGTTATGGTTTGAGAACCCGACTCATTTTCAGACCCATCTTTGTCTCAAGTTTTCATCGTGAGAGACAAATCACCTTAAATCTCTCCAAAAGCAGACCGCCTCGGGAGGATGCTGTTGCAGATGCAGCCGAGTCTACTCTGTGGCTGTTCTCCATGAAATATGGATATGGCGCTGATTCTCGCTATTTTTACCAGCGGCGTCGGATCTGCGCTGGCAGCAGAGGATCACAGCGTGGGGAGGGATGGTAGGGTGGCATGGGAAACAGTAAGTGGGGTTTGGTGAGTGTGTATGTGGGGGGGTTGTACTGTACATTTGTCCTGTTTCCATAGCAACTGGTGGCCCCCGGGGGCTGGAGTTTCTACCAGCTATGCTTTCACCTCCTTCAAATGAGCCAGCTGTTTGATGGCATTCAGGGAAGTTGTGTGCGGCAGGAAGTACAGGAGGATGTTTGCCGGCGAGACGAGGCTCCTCCGCGTGCGGCAGCGACAGATCAGGTTTCCTTTGTAACAACATTTCCTGCTCTCCAAAAGACGCACAGTCGTCCCACCGAAGTCTCGCTAAACGGAGTCAAAGCTGCAAAAAGAGGCTTCAGGTCTGAAAACCTGTGATGACATGTCCGGGAGATTGCGGCGGCCATTTAAAGGAGTCACGCGCTGATTTCAATTAGCATTATTTTATTTTTTGGATTGAGAGCAAAATAAACAGACACGCATCGGTGCGCGGAGGGTTCCAGTCATCGCCGTCGTGTGGTAGGCTAATTGAAATGTTTGGCTGGCGTGTTTCCCTCTCCGTCCCTTCAAGCAGGGCTAATTAGGCCTGCTCTGCCAAGAGAGACCCGCTCGCGCACACTGAGCAAGACATCTGATAGCTTTGATCCCGCGCGCGCCAGCTGTTACCACCTCTGATCCGCTGCTCGACTCTTTCCGGTGACCGTCGAAGAAACGGGTTTGATTCTGGCGTGGACTTGTGATGTGGGACGGATGCAGCTTTCAGCGTCTCCAGCTGAAGCCCGAACAGTGGGTTTCCGCCCCTTTGGCGAGAGGTCTTTGATTGTATTTGGGCCCAGTTATGATTAATGCGCTGTAATTTCCCAACGGGTTAATTTAAGCGTTCACTGCATGAAATAATATTCGGTCTGGTGGCTTATTTGGTCCTGATAAGGCATATAAATATGAGGTATTCATGCCCTTGTAAACTTTTTCACAGTTTGACATGCTGCCACTACAAACTTCACTGGATTTTCATAGGATTTTACGTGTTAGATGAACACAGAATAGTGCATGAATTTGAGGTGGAGCAAATCTTTCCCCTCTGATTAGCTCTAAATAAATTCCAGAGTAAACAGTTGACCTTTCAGCAAATGATCCAATTGTGTGTAGTTCGTTCTTAGTGCAAATCCAGCTGCTCTGTGAAACCTTTGTTGGAGAACATTTGTGAACAAACAGCATAAAGAAGAACGAGGAACACAGCCGACAAGTCAGAGAGACAGTTAGATTAAGCAATGATATAACGTTTCTACATCTCACAGAACTTTGGTCAGTCCATCATACGGAAATAGGAAGAGCGAGGCACAACTCCAAACACACCAAGCAATGGCTATCAGTCTAAGCTGATACGTTGGAGATTATGAAGCTGTACAAACCACTGTAGGAAACATGAAAACCTCTAAAGAAGACATGAGCGCAACTTCCTTCTTTGCAAAATGCAAACAAAAATGAAGTGATGTCAGATTGTAGGATTTCTCTTTTGTCTTTGGTAAAGCCATTTTTCCCACTAGTGCTAAACACACAGTTTGTTTTGGTTGCATTTATGCAGGATGCTATGTCTTTGGAGCGGACTCCAGTCCGCTTCACGTTCACACGTGCCTTCCTAACGCGTCAAAATCGCGATCTTCTGTTTTTAGGCGGACCAGAGTTTTGATTCGATTGAACATTCACATTTCCTCAAATGAACCAGACTTTCTACTCAAACTTAGAGTTGAATTAAAGCAAACTAAACATGACTGGTGTGAATACACCACTACATTTCATTCAGCACATTATTGACCTCTCATCTTAAAGGCAGATGTAAATCTTACACAGAATCAGTAGTACGGAAATAGATGATTACAGTCATTTTCCCTCCAATCTGGCTGAGTCTAAATTATCCTGTGAATAATAATAAAATGTGGTGTCTATATATGCAAAGCTCGTGCAGATGTACCATAAAATACTGTCAGGTGTCAACGTAGAGAAAGGTGGTTCTTCAAAATGCAAGCTGCACTTTCCAGATTTTTGCTGACAAAGAATTTTGAAAACCATACAACGTTTTATTTCCACTTCACATAATGATGCACTGCCTTGCGTCTGTCACATAACATCCCACTGAAATGTTTTGAGGTTTGTGATTGATTCTAAGGCGACAAAATGTAAAAAACGTTCAAGTGGCATGAATGCTTTTGCAAGGCACTGAAAATAGCAGAGTCTTTGAGAGCTGTAGCCATGAGCGCAGAGCAACGAAACCTTCATGGACGAGTGGCCAGACTGAGGCCATTCCTCATTAATAGGAATTTGCCAAAAGGATCTTGAATTATTCACAGACCAAGAAACAGAAAATCTTCAGGTTTAATGGAACAGATTACAAGAGACTCGGATCAGGAATTTAATCTCTTCCTATCTCAGGCTTTATTAAAACTTTTCATCTTCAGCCTTGAAGTAAACAAGAAACACGTATAAAAGATGAGAAGCTAATTCTATTTTTATTTGGTTAAGAAAGGGAATTTTCAAATAAAGATGATGTGAGGTTTGTTTGAAGCTTCAGGCCTGAAAGCCAATATGTTGCACTGAATGTGAATGGGCTCCTACCATCTTCACAAGTGAAGATATCAAACTCTTCCTCAGGGGGCTGTTTTCTACGTTTTATAAATGACATGAGCAGCTGAACACATCGGCGTGGAGACCAATGTGGATGGCTAAGTTTGACTGGAAGTATCACACGCTGAGGGAAGTTTGGCTTTTGACAAGTCAATAACTTGAAGTACAGCTAAAATAAAACCCAAGTGGGGTCACGAGGAAAGAAAGTCTGAAGAGGTCTGAAGTCAAAGTGAGCATCGCTGGAGAAATCTAAAAATAGTAACGCGCTGATGCTCCTCATCCAGCCCGTTCGAGCCTGAATGTTTCTGCTCACGGATACATAAAGAAACCCTCGAAGACAGTTTGATGCTGCTGTTGTTGCCAAAGTTTCCCCCGAAGAAGCGTAATGCGAAAGGTCTCGAACTTGAAGAAGCATAAAAACCTTTTTATCTGCACTGTATTTATTGATCGGGAAAAGTTTTTTTCCTCCCAGAGAATATTCAGCTTTGTATGAGTAACTTTCTTCTAGGTCGTGCTGAAGATTGAAATGCAAAAAAAAAAAAAAGGTTTTTAGGAGTCTCTGGGCATTAAAAGGGAGTTATCTTTCCTCTTCGACCTTAAAAATCATAATTTTTTTATAAATTGAACAATTAAATACAATAAATAAAATCCAACAATTAAAACAGAAACCCTGCTGCAGGTTTTCTTACTTCAGTTTGTCACAGTTTAAACAACCGACTTTCACATCATGCAATTGTTATAACAAATTTTTTTTCTCATATAGTTAGCTTTTTTATAAAGAACATTATATATTTAACAAACTCAATGTTTGTTTTGACGGATCGACAATTAACCTTCTTAAAGACGTAGAGAATTTCTTTTAACAGATAAATAAACCAGCAAGTATCAGAGTTTAAAATTAAATTGTCAATAAATTGTATCATTTATAAACATATATTACCAAAACAAACTCAAAGTAAAAGAGTAAAGCAATATTTCTCAGTAAATACTGTCATGTAAATTCTGTGTGTTTCTACAGCCCTTCTGTACGCCACCATCTTTGGTAACGTGACAACCATCTTCCAGCAGATGTATGCCAACACTAATCGCTACCATGAGATGCTCAACAGTGTCCGGGACTTCCTTAAACTCTATCAGGTCCCCAAAGGCTTGAGTGAAAGAGTTATGGACTATATCGCCTCTACCTGGTCCATGTCCCGGGGCATAGACACTGAAAAGGTACCTTCTTCTGTTTCTTTGTCCATTAGTTTAAAATGTCTGAGCCAAAATAATGGAATAACGTCATTCGGAGAGTGTATTGTTCTTCAGAAATCAAATAATATGCAATATGTGGGTGTTTTTTTTCTGATAAAAGTGTAGTATGCAAGTGCTTAGTTGTGATAAAATAGTGTGAAACTAATGCAGCTCCTTGTTTGATAATGATTTAAATAGCTTGAACTGTAGATAAAACAAAGAAATCTCATCATTTGTCACCAGTTGGACTCTAGTCTTCTTATTGACAGATCAGCTTTGCAGGATTGTCACGAAAAGCTTTCATGAATCCAATCTGTACACATCCAGTGAAATGGAAATCTATCTGACTGCTTGCAGGTCATATGTTTGGGTTAATGTGTCTTTTGGGCAAAATTTGTTTGAACACTCTTTTAAGCGTCAGTATGATTCATATTCACCCAGAAAATAACATTCTGTCTTGCTTTTTATTTACTGAACGTGAATCGTGTCCAAAATACGTCGTCGGTTTTCTCCTGAGATAATTCCTGCTTCCCATTCGCCGAAGGTTTCCGCTCCTCCAACTACTGACTGAAACAAAACATCGCAGCAATCTTACGAAGTCCCTGTGGATTTTCATTGTACTTGTTTTTAACTAGCAAGCTAAATGATGAATATAAGGAATAATCATAAAGGTTTTGTCTGTGCACCCCTGAAAAATGCTTTGATTCAATTTATCCCAAACACCACAATATAATTGGGAAATAAAAGTTGTTTCGTCTAAATTCATCTTTTCAGTTGAAAAATTAACAGCAGTGGATAGAAAAAGTAAACGGACCTTAAACAGCTTTTTAAATCTTATAATATTATTATTGCATTTTTTTTGTCATTTACTCAATCAAAAACCTACATTTGATGTTAATTGCAAGAATTTAATAAACATTCGGAGGCACATTTAACCTAGCCGGATGAGTCGAGTCTAATGAACATTCTCCGAGCGCGAGGAACCAGTGATTTTTGCCAGGAGCTTTTACAGTCTGCCTTAATTTGTTCCTCTCCCAGATTGCAGTAATCCACGTGGGATGAGCTTTAAATTAATATTCTCGATTAAACCAGAAGAAGAAACCAGTAGCAATCTTGTTAGCACACCCCTCAGTTTTTACGTGGATTTAATAAATTTGCCATCAAGTCTTGAACACGTGTCGGCAGCAACGGAGTTTTGTTATTTCTAATTTCAAAGCTTTTTGGTTTTATAAGAGCTGCTGCTCTTATAACCAATCAGAGATATTTTTGAAGTTGGTTTCTGCTGAGAGGCTGTAACCAGTCAATATCTTACCTATAGTAAGTATTTCTCTCAGCATCTTCATTTAATTAATCAAACGAAAGTTTGATTAAGCTAAAGCTTTAGCAAAACTCTGGCAAACTCCGAGACGAACATTATTTTACAATCCTTAAATCTCTTGTCACAATTGCACAAGAAGATTATTTACAGTAAAGTCGATGGTTATTTACAGCAAAGGGTTCGTGCTCCATTTTGTTGGTCCCATTAAAAACCTGACTGTTGTGTGCTAAGAAAAAAATATTTGCCCTTTCAGATTCCTTCTGTTTTTGGATTGTCACAATTAAACATTTATCATCCACAACCATATTTTATTATCAGGTAAAGATAACTTGGGTAATACATATAAAGTGGAACTTACAGCATTAAAAGGAATATGGTCTCCAAACCAACCTGGCCGTGTGTGTAGAAGAAAAAACAGTCGCCATGAAGCGTCTACAATAGAAAGCTATGAGTCTATGATTGTTTCATTAGGCCATCATTAAGAGATTGTTTTTGTTTTGCTTTGTTTTAATGTTATTTCTTGAGGTTATTCTCCTGCTGCGTGACCAACGTGTGCTTGAGTTTAGGATAAAGAAAACAGTCACACGTTGTTCTTCAGGAGGTTTTGTTACAGAGCAGAATTGAGGAAAGATTCACTACCGTGTTGCATGTTTTCTCTGTTTGAACAGCTTTACTGTTGTTAAATGGTCTGTTGTTTCATAAGATCTTTTAGCCTCTTTTGTGTTGCCAGATGGTAAGGTATCTATCTATGGCAAGTAAATTAGCACAATTACCGTTCAATATAATGCTTATCAGACAGATATAATGTGGTTCTACAATTTCAAAAGAGCTTCACGCTGGATATTTACCACAGGAATTTATTTTAATTGTCAAAAGAAAAGAAACCAGCACCGTGAGTAACTTCCCATTCCTTTCATGAGCCATGATGAAAGAGACAGAACGGTTCATTTATTGATCTCTGTGCAGCAATTAATCAGGAGACCACAGAAAGTGCTAAAATTGATTAAGAATTTGTTTGGCCTGGTGGGAGAGTGGTTAACCACCGTGTTTGAAGAAGAAATATGGACAGGAAAAATATCCAATAACCAATCACTTGAGCATTTGTTAAGCTGTCTTATTCAGAGCTCATGTTGTTGTTTACTGGTGAAAGTAGGAGCGATCCAGATGTACAAGGTGAAGGAATCATCATGGGTAAAACTAATTGAAAAGAATGTGTCTAATTTACTAAAATCTGGACTCAGGAGTAATGGAAAAGGATCATTGGGTTTTGGGGGCGGCTTTGTCCTGTTTCGCAGTGATTGGCACATCTGGATGAGAGAGTGGCCGTGCCTGTCGGCTGCTCTTCAATTACGGTCTGACCACCACCAGCAAGTAGGGAGAGTGAAGTTTCTTGCCGGAGGACATAAAGACTGAGCAGGATTTGAACTGGCAAACCACCATTTACAGGACGCAGTTGGATTATGTTGAAATATGAGTTGGTTATCTTAGTGAGACAAAGTCAGGTACATACAAGAATGACACTTTTTATGAGGTTCATTGTTTAACGATGTTCAGTTTGTCTCTGAATTATGACCACGGTGGTGCTCACTACAATCTTCAGTAGCTCTGAAAATCTTCTGACACCAATGATGTCAGGAGGTTTAGTGTAAAAAAAAACCCCAAACAAAACACACCTTGAGAGAGTTCACAGATTTCTTGTGTGACACCTTGGTAATCAGACACCTTATTATGGACCATCCGCTGGGACTGACCCATCTCATATTAATTTGCGCTAATTGGCAGGGTTGCTTTCTAATTGCTGATAGATTTCCACTGGTGTCATGACTTTCCTTCCCTTTCGCACCTCCGTTTCTTCATGTGTTCAGTACTTTTTGCCCCATGTCATTCCATTTAATTACACATAATTTATTGGTATGGTTTAATATTCCTGTGTGTGGACTGCATGGGTTGTTAAAGACACGTGGAGAGAATCTCAGGTCAGATGCACATTCAGCTAAAAGATAAATATTTTTTTTATCTTTTACCAGCTCTATAATTAAAGTACGTCTGTTCAGATTGATCCCATCCATATAGTTTGTAGAAATGTAAATTGAAACGCTTGCACACAACTATAAACTTTCTAAGATTTAAACTTTGATGATATGGGAGGACTTTTTATTTGTGTTATTCAAACACAAATAATTAGCAGTGTCCTTAAGATAAATGCATAATGTTTTTATGCCTTTATTTGCCATGTTTGATATTGCTCTGCTTTTGAAATGTTTGCTGTTAATGAAGCAAAACAAGCTTTTGCTGGTTAATTTGGGTGTGTTTCTATGGAACTTAATTGATGACTGACATTTTGAATGAAATAAATTATTAATCGTTCTGCTCAATGAAAATGTGCGGACCAATTTTTTTTTCTTTTTCAAAAAACTCGTTTTTTCCCTTACCGTCATCTAAAATGTTTTCATCAAATGAGTATATTTTCTCTTTTTGACGGCTCACATTTACATCCAACATTTCAGCTGAATGCAGATGATGGTAATATTGAGCTGAGTGTTTGGAAATTAGGCATTTAAAGCTGTAAACAGCTCATTTGGACTGTAGCCACTCAGTTGATTTGAAGCCAGAAAGAGTTTATTACATGTAATTAAAATCCACTTGTCTTAAGTCCAATCATTTGACGTTTTCACTTGAAATTAGAAGCAAAACTTCAACCATGTAGATTTTTAGCAACAGTATTTCTGTGTAACTTAATAACCAATTTGAAATCAAATGAAAACTAAAACCTTCTGAATCCCTGGGGTCTTTTTTTTTCCTGAGTTCATGTGTTTTTTTTGTCCTCTGGCTGCAGGCCGCGCTAACGGCGCTAAATATGGCACATAGTCTCTCTCTGTTTGGCATTCATCTTCAAAGAGATTTGTTTCGACAGCCTGGCATCCCGTTGATGAGGTGTATGTGAACAACATGATGCCACTCTGTGACACTCAGCATGCAGGCAAATAGACGCTGAGCTGATTGCTACCTTCACGCTTCCCTTTTGTGAAACTGAAATATAAGTGCTTAAGTCATCCTGGGATGACTCAAACCGTAGCTGACTTGGTGAAATGAATCCAAACACAGTCCGATTTATTGGCGTCCCTGGTAAGGTTATGTAAAAGGCGAACGGAAAAAAATAATAAATCAAAGTAAAAGAAGCATCATTATTGAGAAATAAACTGGCTTTATTAGCGTTTTATGAAAAAATTGCAAATCCAAAAGGATTTAAAGTACAGTCACACTTAATGAATTAAGTAATGTGTTCTGATGAGGTTCATTTGTCAAATTAAATTAAGTATCAAGCTCATATTTCAGTGCTAAAAAGCTTCTTTTTATTGGTCTAATGTTATAGAGTATCGTGTTTTAATTAGCTGGAGAAAAAGATAACAAGAAAGGCTTGAAAACATCACTCTGTGTATGTCTCAGTTCACTTAGTGAATTGAGGTGTTGAAATAAATTAATCTTTCAATAATACTGACTTTTACTGAGATGCACCTGCATATCATAGCTCTCCATGACAACCATTTGATTCTTTCTGCATGCAGAAAGTGATCCCATAAAAAAACGCTTTTTGTCCTCTTCGTCAACGTAACTTGCAGTTTGCTGAACCCTATGCTTTGGTCAGATGAGACTAAGATTGAGTTTTTCGGCCAGTATTCTGGACAAGCCTGTGGGATTGTGCACGAAGCATCGTTTCTGCTAAGGATTTTACCACGTTTGCGATCGGCCCCATTCAAATTGACTGGCATTAGCTGAAAATGATATTGTTTTTCAGTGGCTGTTAATTTGTTTCGAGGTTACAGATATCAACGCTTGTTGCCATGCAGCATCAACAATTGCAACTGATTTTTCATTTGCGACATTAATGTTATCAGATTGATGCAATTATTTTTAATCTTTGACATTTAAACTATATTCCTCCTTGGAGGCAAAGTATAAACAAATTTGGAATGACAAGAAAGAGTAATTGAGAGTGCAAAAGCAGAGATGTGTGTTTTCTCCAACTTCCAACTCCTTTTCTCCCCTTTTCCTCGGTTCTAGGTGTTGCAGATTTGTCCAAAGGACATGAGAGCAGATATTTGTGTTCACCTGAACCGCAAAGTTTTCAAAGAGCATCCGGCGTTCCGACTGGCCAGCGACGGATGTCTCAGGGCCCTGGCTATGGAGTTTCAGACGATCCACTGCGCTCCTGGGGACTTGATCTACCACGCCGGCGAAAGTGTGGACAGCCTCTGTTTTGTGGTGTCTGGTTCCTTGGAAGTCATTCAGGATGATGAGGTGGTGGCTATTTTAGGTGAGCCTTCGAAGAACTCTTGACTGTGATGTTTCGCTTAATGTTAAGCCATATTCCAAGTTAGTTACTCTGCTAAACATTTCTTTAAACAAATCAGGGACATCTAGAGAGTACTTACTAAGCTCATATCTGCAATGGAGTATATTACGGCAAGTGAAATAATGCATTTCTTCTTGACATCTAAAAGGAGAAGTTGTCAAAGTGATCATTTTGCATAGGTGTTGATTTGCTTCGATCTCATTAAATTGTTTCTTTCTAAAGCTTTGATGAAGATACTGTTTGTATTATTTATCTCAGAAGCTCATTAGCTTAAAAAACCCGTCAGCGACAATACAAAAAAATTGGCTCCTATGTTTTTTCATGATTACAAGAAAACATTTTTGAAGCAATGTTCCTAATCTTGCTTTCCGTTTTTCTGCTGTAGCACTTTGTAAACTGTCACAGACTGCAGCGAAAACTGAGCTGCTCCAGGATCACTTTCTGCTGAGTGATGATTCAGGATTTGGACTAGAATTTGTTTGCTCCAGTCTGATACACAATCCTCTCTGCTGCACTTTGTGACCAATCTGACATTTTCAGTCTCAACAACAGTCAGCCTCATTACTTATTCTGGATCCATGGGCGCTTTTTTTTTTTTTTTCAACGATTTATCCCAATGAATGCATGAAGTGCAGAGGCAAAGGAGCAGAGAAAGATGCTAATGGCTTCAATTTTATACAATTTAATATAGTTATGTCATTACTGCAAAGTTTTCTTTGAAAATTGTCAACAGATTGGGTTTCTAAAGACAGATATTTCTTTCTCTGAGACATTGCTTTAGGATTTTCCCTTCTTTTTTGAGCAGAACGCCACAATGAAAAACTCCTTCTAGGGTTTGGATCGATCCCCGTGTCACACACTCCTGACAGTGACATGTCCTGGGCGCATGGCTGGGTCCAGTTTGTATTGATTTTTTTAGAAAGCTCTGCCAATTTGTAGCTGGTTTGATATCATCTGTGAAATAAGGATCTTTAGGCGTCGACATCAGTGGCTGCTCAACATTAACTAATGAAGAGGATTAAAAATGTGGACCTTCATTCACATGGCTTAAAAAAGTTTCTCGTTAACCAAACAGAGTTATTCTCAAAAACATGTGATATTTGTAAGCAAATATCAGAGGATATTCTTGGTATCAGAGAGGATTAGTCACTAGGAGCCAATATATCTTTATTCCTGGTCTAAACATAATGTTGAAGTGATGCCTCTTGTTTTTCACACATGTTGAGCCGTTTAATAATAGTTCTGAGCATGAGTCACAACCGGCAGCAGAGCGCGCACGTATTCATTTAACTTCTCTATTAAATCAACCTTTATAAAAGAGACTAATCTATAATTCATAGTCATTTTCAGAATTAATAAATAACTTACTTGATCTCATTATTGAGCAGCTGTAGGCCTGTTATCAGAGCGATCCACAACTTGCTTCATTTTAAAAGTTCTTCTAAAACCGGAGACTTTTCTTTTTGCTCTTTTGCGATGTCATTTAATAAAAGACATGTTTTTATAAATTTAAACAAAAGACAAACCGGTTTTATTGAGGCTCAGTCATTTATTAGCTTAAACACACTGAGTTAAAAGTCTTTGAGGTAAAGCAGCCATTTGAGCAGCGTATGTTTACACAGGCAGATTATATGAATCTGAAAAAACAAACAAATCGTTTGACATGTTGTTGTCTACAGTAAATGTCATGGTGGTGCAGCAGGTACAAGTTATTGGAAATAACGTGTTGATCTATTAAAAAAATGGCAAGCTGCTTCAACATGCAGTGAAGTAGTAACCTTGAGATATAATAGGAATCAAGTCTAACGGTACATAAGAAAAACAAAAATGTGAGATAGATGAAATGTAATTCAGTCATAAAACTGGTTATTAGTCACTTTTTCTTTTTTAGGCTATTTTTTGAAACAACAACTTGCTAAAAGTATTTATCTGCTTTGATTTTTTTTCACACAGAAAAAAAATTGTGAGGTGAAACTAAAATGAACAAAGCTTTATAAGACTTTTTACAAGTAAAAACTATGAGTGTGCATTGAGCCCCATTTACTCTGAAACCTCTAAATAGATACATTATTTGCTGGCATTTCTGGTATTGAACTTGTGGGCAGGACAAAAAAATATACTTGAGGCATTTAACTTTTTAAATTTAAAAAGTTAAATCAGAGAGTGACCCTGCAGCCTAAATTTGTTCTCATAAAAGATAGACCGCATAACCAAATTGTAAAACATTCCTTCAATAATTTCATACTACAGTCGACCCTTTTTTAGATTCGTCAGACATTTAGCTTTTGTCTTTGTTAAACCACGTTTCAATGTAACTTCTCTGTGTCTTTGCAGGTAAAGGAGATGTGTTTGGGGACGTTTTCTGGAAGGAGGTGACTCTGGCTCAGGCCTGCGCGAACGTCAGAGCGCTGACCTACTGCGACCTCCACGTCATTAAGCGCGACGCCCTGCAGAAGGTCCTGGAGTTCTACACGGCGTTCGCCAACCACTTCTCCAGGAACCTGCTGCTCACTTACAACCTGAGAAAAAGGGTGAGTGACCCTGCAGACGTCAACGCGAGCAAAACACTCAATTATTCAGAAAGATTTTGCAAACAACCATTTTAAATAAAATTGTTAATCCCTCTGGTATTTTTTTCTTCTCACTGGAAGTATGGTAGTAAGTATGGAAGTATGGTAACATTTTGGAGTGGCCAGAGTAATGACTTGAATTTGGTGGAGAATCTGTGATGGAAACTAAACATTAGGGTGATGGCACAAAGGCTTTTCATTGCCAAAAATAACTTCTCAAATTGCCAGTAAAAACATCCAAAAAGCTGCTCCACAAATTAAGAAAGGGTAAGATTTATTGCTGCAAACTCAATTTATGTTTTTCTTCTCTTCTTGTCTTCAGACAGAGTTATATTTTTAAAAAGTTTAAAACAATCGAAACTGTGATAAATAAAACAGGGCGAGGGGTCAAACCTGTCTTGGCACCAGAAAGTGAGGAACTGTTGGGAAACTGCAGCATTCGTAGGGCTTTTCAGACATCTTTACCAGGGGTGTATTTTCATTACTCCAGGGGGCGACTCGGCAGAGTTCTCAACAAAATCATTAAGACAACAAGTGTTTCTATAAAGAAAAGTCAGGAGACTTTAATCTCTAATTCAGTTTCAGTCATATCAAAGGATGAGGTTGAATCTGTTCTAGCAAATTGACTGCAGGTCTGGATGGTGAATTACATTCAGTAAATTAATCAGTGATGACTTTCCAGAGAGCCAAATATTTTTATGTGTCGACCCACCTTAGGTTCACATAAGAACATGCAAATAACTACAGCTATAAATTAGAGAGCGCCTCTCTAATACAAGCCGTCAGACAGAGCACAGTTGGCGTCTCTCCTCATATGGGCTGACAGTTTTAATGGTTATCCCTGCTCTCACAGGGACTGTGAGCACAACAAAGGTAAGATGAATGTTGCAGAAACACATGCAGACATGGGAGGGAGCAGGTTGGGGGAAAAATACAAATGGTGTTTGGCAACAAGGGGAAAAAACCTTGATAGACCAGATAGAGCCTCAAAGAAGAATGCCTTAAACAGAAACATACTGAAAAATAGGCAGATGACCCCAGAACAGAGTGTGCAGAGCTGCTTATTGAGTGCAGTGTGATGCACTGGATAACCATCATCATCATAATCATCATTTATTGCCCCACATAAGAAGCAGGTACATCAGAAATTGCAGTACATTGATAAAAAGAAAAAGAAGAACAAACAGGAGTATCAGAGTAAACCTTGAGGACATTTGTCATCGCAAAGCCCCAACATTTAAAATCAAAAATTAGAGAATATTGTTGGTTGTATGAGACATCCTGACCAGGTCATAAAAATATACAACCAAACATGTGTCAGTGTTGATATGCCAGCATACTTTTAATACAGAAATGACTTTTTTATATCTGATTTGATGTATTTTGGGGAGATAAAATTGATTCATGTAAAGGATTTCCACTGAAACAAAGTCACTGTACAGAGTGATGTACGTTGGACAGAAACCCAGTTCTGTAAATGTAGAAGTATTTCAACCTTTTCCCAACATAAATGCTTGATTTTGAAGAACATAATTTCTGAGGGTTTACTTATTCTAAGAATTTTAAAATGTAACATCATCTGGGTCTGTACAGTTTCAATGAACCACAGCATGAAAGCAAAACTACAAAAGGCTACTAAATCAAGTAGAAAAACCGGGGTTTGTTTCACCCGCAGACCTCATGCTGCAAAAGAGTTACCTCTATAAGCAGAGGTAACTCTTTTGGGAAACTTGTTGTCAGGATCCTTTTTTCAGGACAAACCGTGGAAGAATCAGTAGTAATAATCCACAATCCGATACTCAGTGGTCAGGGAAACAATAAAAGTCATTAACATGGCAGGTAAATTGAAAACACAATCCATGAAGCAGCACTCAGAGTCCAGGTGCATAAAATGAAGGGTCAGAGTTACTCACAATACAGACAAGAAGCATTCAAAGACTACAATTTAAGGTGTTGGTCAGGAGGCAGAAAAAGGTCATTGACATGAATGGGGACATGGACAGCTGGAAGGACGACAAAGATGACGACAGACAATCTCGCACTGAGTGCAGAGCAGCAGCACAGGTGGAAGGGATCAGCAGCCAACAGTAGCAGGAGGGTCAGAGCAAAAGAGCAGCACGAAACATGGCAGGAACACAGAAATCATGACAGGATATCAAGATAAGAGACAGCAACACAGATGAGCAATCGCAACTGAGCCGCAGGCTAATAGCCTCCATGCTAGTAGTTCATTCACTACTTAAAGGTAAATTATTGAGCGCATTATTTCAAAAGGCTAACATTTCTACATTTTAATACAAATTCTTTGCCACTGGTTTTGTGTGACATTCTAATTATCTAAGAAAGGGATGTTTTAACTTTTCATCATCTGTGAGCCATAATCACCAAACATTTTAGTTTTCAATTTGTGTGAAATAAACTAACATGTTTCCATTTTTTGTAATTAAAAAGTTTCTGTGAAATTCAAATTTATTGAGATGCACCTCGATCTGTCCTCGTCCTGCCAGGAAGCCTGGCAGCCTCTCTGAGGAGGCAGCCAGCCCCTTGACACTCAGCACCTGTGTGGTTGTAGATGTCTCCTATACAGGAGATAAAAACACAGCACTTAATTTACTAAAAGGAGGTCCTACAACTAAGGACCTTGTTTCAGCACATCCAGCTTTATTTTCTTCATCTATCCTTTATGTGACAGGACAAAAAAAACAAAAAGAAAAGAAAGATGCTGCTCCACAGTCACAGCTTTGCATCTGCTGTGGGGGGAAAAGATACTCAGAGGAGCGCCGAACGTGGCAGCTCTGCTCAAGTGGAGGACAGGAGGGGAGACATGTGAGAGCGTCGCTAACAGTTCATCAGAAGAGACACCTACACACACACCCACACACACGCACCAAGAAACAGGTTAGACTGTTCTTTGAGTTGGTCCCAGGATTTTATGCCCAGTTAACAAAAGTTTAAATCTATTATTCCCTTAACATGTAAATGTGCAGCAAGCTACTTTTCATTTTTAGAGAAGCAACCATTGTTGTTATATCTGAACAACCAAAGTGAATTCTTCATAATAAGCTCATCTCCCCAACTGAAAACAGAATAAAATCAATATGGATTCTGATCCTAATCCTTTGTGAGTGGAAAATGTCTCCACCTAACATAGTATATTCACTGGAGGTTCGACTAGAACTATTCTTTTCTCAGCAGCGACTTGAAAGCATGCAGGGTATTTAGGCTGTCAGAACAAACAGATCATAAGAAAAGGACTACAGGGCACAGAGAGATAAAATAGCTGCTGGTTTTGGTGAAACAATGAGTTCACTGCTCTATGTTCACACAGCAAATTATTTATCGCTGCTGCATTAAATGTCAAGCCAAGCAGTTTTTCAGAAAGGGTGGGAATATTTAGTACTTTTATATATTATGCACTTTTGGCATAATTATTAGTTTTATTTTAAATATCCAGGAGGATATGTGGTTTTCTGTTGCTTTTTTAAGCTTCACTACTGTAGAAATGCTGTCATAAATTTATTGAATAACCTTGTGTTGGTGTAGATTCTCAGACATCCAGGGCATCAGAGACCTGACCACTTCACCTGAGGGCAATTGAGCTTCTTCTCTTGTTTCATAAAGACTTTTCACCACTCATCTAAACGGTTTCTCCAGTTCCCATTCAGCACCCAGGAAGCCATATAAAATAGAGCTAAAATGTTTACAAGAAAAATAAGAGGAAGTCCATTTGTCTCCTTCCCCTTGTGCACTGACAACCTTGGATTAAGATACTTGCTCTCACTTTTGGTGAAGCTGTTTGAGCTTGTTAGTTAGTTTTAAATGTAAAAAAGTCAACCACCTTACCAGCTGGATCTGTCTAATTAAAAAGACACGTTGTCCTTTCTATAAATAATAGTTCACTTGATTTTCACATAGAAAATCTGCAAACATAACCACTAAGCTAGCTCTTGTCAGACACTTAAGCTGGTTTATACCAAGCTTATTAGAGAACATGCATCATATAACACCCAGGTGTAACAATTTACAATTTATTAAAGCTACTCTTAAATCCTTATCTCATATATAAACGGCTGTGATCCACAGTTGACGCGTAGCTACCAATCATTACGGTCAGCCTGTCCAGGAGAGTGTTAGTGCAAGATTGAATTGCCTGTGTATAAAAAAGTAATCTCATCTGCTGCATCAGAGTCACTGTTCATCGGTGTGTTTCCTAAATGTACACTGCAGGGGAAACTGTTTTCAGAGAGATGGATTGAGGGATTTAGATTAATACTCTGCTCCTATAGTGCTTGTGAGAATTGCCTCCTTTAAGCATACAAGATAAAAGACCAGCAATTACATGCAGTCCAGGTACCAGTTTTAAGACCAGCTCGACTTTAAGAACAAAGAAATGGAACTGTCTTACTTTTCGGGAGAAATAGATGTTGTTCAAAATGCTATGAAAAAAACAAGGACTTAGTGAGAAAACTGGGATTTACTTTCTGGCACTGTGTTTGATGATAAGCGGAGGTATAAAGAAGAAGAAAAGCCAGCATAAGCTTTTGAGAGTCAATCGTGACTCTCAAAAATGCTAAACTAGTTCCAATGGACTGATGGTACACAACATTGAATTCAAGTATGAGAACAGCGTGTTATTATGGAGGTATAGCAAGGAAAGTATTAAGGCATTGCATCTAAAGCTGCACCCTTTAAACAAATGGACAACCAGAGTTTTGTTCCCTTCCTTTAAATGTTTTTGTAATTCTGTGACTATTTACTGAGCCAGGACTTGTTTTAAACAGTGGTAGAAGCTCTGCCATCTGTAGAAAAGGTTTCCTAAATATCATGTTTTGATTCTGTTTTCTGCTTTGTACAAAATATCAAAGAACTGCTGTGAAATATTCTATGTTTGGCTGTGCTAAGAAGATTAATATATTCCAGTCAGCAGATATTGGTCATAGCTTAGTTTTGTACAAAAACCAGGGAAAACATCATTATGCGTTCACTCCTTTGTGGGTTTTTATATGAATGAGCTGAAGTGTTTTTTAGTGGCTTGGTGAGTTCAAATTTTCTGGTTGGTAAGTTTGATTATAGTAGCATGGGACACTATGCTAGTGACATGCCAAGGATACTAATAAAAAACTCTCATATTTGCAACTTAAAAGTTGTTTCTCCCTGGTAAAGGCATTTCTGCCTTCATGTTTTTTTTTCAAATAAATGAAAAACTTAGCTAATTTTAGTAACATGCTAATGTTTGTTTTTTTTTTGTTCTGTTTTGTCTTTTAAAAAAAAATCTTGCTAGTGATCTTAATCTTTTGCCGACAAACTCAAAGTACAAATCTGACTGGAAGAACATTTTATTTCTTGCTAAGTCTTTGAATCTGTGTGCACTGCTAAGCGGTAGACAAATCCCTGCAGCGTGCTCTCCTTATTTCCATTCCTGGAAGCTGGCAGTAGTGGCAGTGGACAGGTTGTTGGCTCCAGCTACACCAGCATCAATGTGGTATTCTGCTCATTTTGGCTGGCTCCATCATTTTTGAAGCTTTCAGCCACATTGCATATCACCCAGCCTTCTTCTGCATGCCGCCTTTTCTCGGGTGGAGCTGCTTCTGCTTTTCTTCACATGCGGCAGCTGTTTTGATGTCGTTTGCTACATCGCTGTATCATTTTACATAATAGGTGCTCTGTGACACAGTTGATAAAGTTGTGATGTTAAATGAACAGAGTCTGCATTGAAGTTTGTAAAGATGACGTAATTACGTTTCTTATCTCCTCCTTCCATTAGAACCCGTTTTTAGTCAAAAGCATGCAAGATTACTGTAAGTGTCTTGAAAGATGCAGTAGCAGCCAGTCGCCCGGTGCGCTCACTGTGTATTCTTGCCAAAGGCTTGATGTGAACTTTCTGTGTCTCTTATGGGAAATGTTTTCTTGAGGAGTGACATTTACAACATGCGCACACTTTGAAATGTTGACAGTTTTCCTGACAAATCTCTACAGTCAGCACGGGTCTTCAAACCGACGTCTTGTTTTTGTTCCCCCTCTCCTTGAAGAAACATGGTTTACTTTAAGATAGAGCCGTGTGAAAAATACACAATATTTACACAGATTTTTCTCGCTTTGTTACGTCACAAGAAAATGTTACTGTCTTTTATTTGGATTTTATGCAAAACAGGAAGAAAATCCATAAAACTCCAAAGCTGAAAAGTGTTCCATGCACTTATATGAAGCCTGTTTACTCTGATACTCCCAAATAAATTCAGGGAAACCAAGTGGATTGTTGTAAATCCAGCAGCTCTTTGAAGGTCTCAGAGGCGTGTTAGAGAACATCAGTGAACAGAGAGCATCATGAAAATATCAAATTTAGAAGAAATGTCTGCCTGAGCTTGAGCCAATTTGAAAACAGCGGGCAAAACCTTCTGTAGACGTGCACAGCTGGTGTAGATGCTTTGACATTTGAAATTTCCTCCATTTTGTTCAACTTTACCGTCTGTACGCTTAGCGCAGCCTACCGATACACTTCCTAAAAAAAAAAGGAAGTGTATCGATATTGCCTTTCAATATTTCACAGTAAATATAGACGTGAGCAGAGTGACATTATTTTTTGGTTTATGGCTAGCATAAGGCCTAATAAAAAAATGTTTATATGGTCCAAGTGTGGAAATTATACCGGGAAAAAACAAAGAAGAAAAATCCCCATGAAAGAACAGAATTCCTTTCGTCTGGTCCAAACCTTTATCAACCAGACGTACATGATGCCTAACACTCTGTAACTTCTGTCGCAGATTGTCTTCCGGAAGATCAGCGATGTGAAGCGTGAGGAGGAGGAGCGGCAGCGTCGTAAGAACGAAGCGCCTCTGAACCTGCCTCCGGATCATCCGGTACGGAAACTCTTCCAGCGCTTCCGGCAGCAGAAGGAAGCCCGCATGGCAACCCAGAAACAGGAACTCAACGAACAGGACGTCGAGAAGGGCCCAGTTTACGTGGACGTGTCGATGGTGAAAGCTCCTGTTACGACTACCAGCATCGTCACGGTGACAGAAAGCCCAGCAACACCGTCCTCCTCCGCCCCTTCACCGTCAACACCAACCAGCTGCCCCCCCACGGACAAGGCAAAGCTGCAGGTGCCTTCAGCAGTTGCTCTGGCGGCGTGCCGACCCACAGAACCGGTCAAAGTCAAAGGCTGGGGCCGCTTCAAGGAGTCCATGACCAAAGCCGACAACTGGAACAAGGTGGCCAAAGCCGAGTCCATGGAGACTTTACCCGAGAGGACCACCGAGCGTGAGCCGCACACCACCCTCAAGAAGACGGATTCGTGCGACAGCGGGATCACCAAAAGTGACCTACGCCTGGACAAAGTGGGCGAGTTCCGCATGACTCCTCAGGACCGCAGTCCCGCCCAGCCTCCCGAAACCAGGCATGCCTTCTACCCCATCCCGGAGCAGACTCTCCAGGCCTCGCTTCAGGAGCTCAAGATGGAGCTGAAGGAGGACATCAAGAACCTGGGTGCGCGAATGTCCGGCCTGGAGGCGCAGCTCGCCGAAGTGCTCACACTCCTCAGAGCCAGAAAGTCCAGCACCGGCTCGGAGCAGCCACTTTTTGACATTTCGAGGCCTACCTCGCCGGAACTGGACAAGGAGGACATTTTTTCATGAGGAACAGAAGCGGTTGTCAGGTTAATGGCAGTCCGTGAGCTCAGCTGGAATCCAGTAACGTTGAGGTTGCTTGGATAGCTGAGGCGGCGCACGGCACTCCATCCGCAATAGGCGCGGTCTGAGAGACCCACCGACCTTAACACAAGGTGTGCCTGCTGGTTAACGCGGTTACGGTGTGTTCGTAGCACTCAACGCTTGAAGGTTATGTAACAAATGACAGAAAAATGTTTGTACATAATTTATTTTTCCACTGTGCCATGTTGGGGGGATAGAAAAAAAATGCTTAGTTCGACTTTATCTCTGAACTTACTGCAGAGTCGTAACTGTTGGGAAGCCCCAATGGAGGCAGCATGACCCGCTGGTTTGTTATTGAATCATTCGTATGAAACGCTTTGCATGTCATATAAAATAGATGTGTGCCCCGTTACATATTTGATTAATTGAGGCTGCACAGCGAGTCGTTTGCATTATTTCAGTCAGAAAGAGCCGACTCCGTCCAGATGTTAGAACAATTTCGCTGTAATTTTCTCAGCCGCATCTCTTATTAAAATCTGCCGGGATCGTTATGAATTATACAACAGATAACTCTGGCCGGGGCAATCCGATTTTCCCCCTCCCCCAAAAAAGGAAAAAACATTCTTGAGCAGAAATTACAACATCATTTGCATAAAGCACTAATGGATGTGCTAGATAGAAAATGTATTTAAATGCTAACCAGTGAGCCTGCAGTGAGGAAGTTATCCATCTTTGCTGAAGTCTAGCATTTGCTAATCTCATCTGGGAGCGCTGCGGCCATATACATGATGCACTGTTGTGTGAAAGTTATGCGTTTTTTGTTTTTTTTTTGTTTTTACCTTTGGGGATGTGTTGGGTAATCTGATAATGCAAACTGCAGCGTTTGTTGCGGCTCCGCACCTTACCTTCTTTTGGAAACCTCATGAGCCTAGAAAAGGAATGCCCACTGGGACGATGTTTCTAAAATAATATGTGCTAATGTGTATTTATCGAAGAATAGGCTGACATAATGTCGCATAAAACCACTGGGTAATCTGCATCTGATAATAGTAACCTGCCATTACATAACAGTGTCACAGACTCAACTCCCTGCTGCAGTGCATGATGCATTTCGTTTCCAACTCCAGTACTTCTGCATGATTCTTATTTTTATATTTTTTTAAATCCTTTTTTTTATAAAAAGAAAAAAAGAACATGACATTGGGTTGCAGCTCAATAGTTCAAATTCTCTTGCTGGGAAAAACAAAGGATTATTTTACAGAAAAATGTTCATCATTCTCATAAATGGAGGCAAAGCCTTCAGTTTCTGAGCATAAATACTCCAGGTCAATGCAGAAAAAAAACATCTTGAATGAAAATACACTCAAAGACATTTACTTCTAGAATAGTGATATATTTTCACTCTAGTGTTGTTTCTGTGTTGCTTTAAAGTGCACATTTATTTATTTATTTAGCTCAGTTTTTGTCAATTAACCCATCAGCGGCTCACAAAGTCTTTAGGTCATTATCTGGCTTTCTCAGATTTCGATTTCATTTCAACTGAACATTTTAAAATGTGACACGGGATGCAGCAAAAAACATCAATAACCAATTTGCCACTAATCTGATGCAAATTGGTAAATGTTTATTTAACATTTACTTATATGTTTATATTTAATATGAAAAAAACCCTCATGTACATATCTGACACATCGTTGACTGTGAGAAGTCTGCAGATTGCACTACAAAATTGATTCTTCTTTTATTTTACTTTGAGCCTATAATAGTCACTATATTTTTGGGCGACATTGTTATTGAAAAGTTATTGATTTCAATAACTCAGTTCACTAAGTGAAACATATTACTTCAATAAGTGACGCACCTCGATGATTTAAGCCTTTATTTCTACTAATTATGATGAAAAAACACGTTTCAGAATAAAATATTACATGAGAGCAATAAGATGACGTTTTAAATACATAAAAGTGGGCTTAATGTTTAATACCTGCTTAAAGGTTATTTTTAAAAGCCAATTGTTTTATTCTGACAAATGACCGTCATCAGAAAAACACATATTCTAATATGTTCAATATAAAGGTACATGGGTATTTAAAATATTTTACTGCATTCCATAATTACAAGAAATTGAAAACAACTATTGTAGTTCTTGAATATTGGAAATGTAAAAATAAACAAGGACAAAGATAAAATGTTCAGGTCAGAAGAGAAATATTCACCAAATGCAGCCAAGAAGGACTGAATAAAAAGATTGAGCTAAAGCTTTATTCAAAACCTTTTAATAATTGGCAAATGGATGAGAGTTAAAAATTTATTGGGAAATATGTTGAATTTTTAACCATTCCTGTCATTTTTTGGCGCAAATTAAAACCCAAAATAGATGCTCTATAATTTATGGCTAAACAGAATTGCATCACACAGTCCAGTCATTTTGAGCCAATTTAAAATGTACAGTTTGCTGAATCTAAAATTACAGCTAAAGTAATTTTCTGTGACTAAAATAAGCAATTCTCTGTAATATTTACTGTCTAGATGAACATTCAATATTCCCTGCATGTTTTTGTTTTTTTTCTTCCCCTATTTAAGGAGCTGCAAGGCGAGCTGAAATGGACTCAGCGGAGGGAAAAGCCACGCTTCGGTTCCGTTGTCTCCATTTTCATTAAATATTAAGCTCGCATAAATAAACGGGGATGTCTTCACAGAAGGGAGAACTTGTTTTGGTTTGGTGCCAGGTTTTTTTTTTTTTTTCTTTCTGCTTCTACAAGCGATTGGGTTGCTGGGTAGAAGAAAAACCCAAGACGCAGGCGCCTTCAAACCACAAACATGCTGATCACGTTTAAGGATGGCGATCAAAGGGAGATCAGTCGGCTAATTTAAATACTTTGAGGATAAGAATATGTAGAAGAAGATCAAAATGTGATCAAAACCATTTCTGACATATCCTAAACCATTTAATAACCTCATTACATGTGAATTTATCACAGGCTTTTCTTTTGACAGATCTGACGGATTCCAGGGGAAACTACGGAGGATGTTTCTGATGCGCAGAATTTTAGTTGATGATACACAGGTGATAAATGTAGTAAAGAAATATTAATAACACATAGATAATAATAACAAAACTATTCATAACCGTTCAAATAAAGTATTTTATTTCTTTTTTTTATGCGATGGGACAACAGAAAGTAGCGCAAAAAAAAATGAAGTGGAAGGAAAAACTTTGAAAAGTTTTTTTTTAACTTTTCACCACAAATACAGCAAATCAAACCAAATCCTCTACCTACGTTTCCTCTGCGTTATGTTTCAACCAGACACTTTTGTCCCCCCATATCTCTTCTAAAATAAATCCTGATCAATCAGATTAGGTGGAGAACACCCAGTCTGTTCCCCCGTGGGAATTGGATTTAGGTCGGGACTTTGACTATGCCATCCTAACTTATGAATATAGCTTAAAACCCACTTTGTCGCAGCTGTGGCTTTAGGATGGTTTTCATGATGTTTAAGTGTTTTAGGTTTCCAAAAGTTTTTCCTTCAGGGATTGCGCCTCATTTAGCTCCATCCATGTTCTCATTAAAGGCTTCCCCACAGCATTATGCTGCCATTGCCAAATTTCACCATGGAGATGGTGTGTTCAGGGTTAGTGCTTTGCATGGACGTTGCAATGTGTAAATAGTTGTTGCTTTCTCTCTGTTTTCTTCCATGAAGGCCAAACTTGGGATACAGTTCAATAACCCAGCCCTGCTTCTCCATAACACGATGTTCTCTAAATTAGGCAGCTCCTCTAAAGTATTTGCTTTGGATTTTATTTGTGGTAATCAGAGTAAAGAGGAAAATGTGAAAACAATTCCTAACCTTCCCACCACTTCATTGTCACGCACCACTTTGTGCTGCTCTGCCAAATAAAACCCCAATCAAAGCGAAGTGAACTTCCTGTTTCTAACATGACTCTTGTCGGGGTGTGGCAGCTTTTTGTGCATCGTGTTTGGCGAGAACACGCACGGCGGCACTTTGTCCATCTGTTTTTAAAGAACAGGTGTGCATCAGGAACAGCTGAGTTTGGAATGTGAGGCTGATTGACGGCGGCGCACGGCAGCGTTAGAGGCTTATTTTCTGCCCGCTCTGGTCAAATTGCTTTAAGAAAATGAAACCCGACTAAACGCTCTCGGAGCCGATGGATTGAGACAGGAATGTAATCTCAATCCATCTGACTAATTACTGCTGCCGAAAATGCAGAAACGGCAGATTGGAGGCATTACTTGTTGCAGGTTTTAATATAAATTGAAAGAAATTGAAAACAACTATTGTGCAGTTGAAACAAAGTCATATTATTATTACTATTATTTAAATTGTTTCCGTGGCGGTGGCCGCCTTCACACTTTGACTCGTTTGGATTAATTAACACTCATTTAGTTTCTCAGCTAAACGCGTTTGGCCGTCCCACAGACTCGACTCCCACACATTAGGGATTCACTCTTGGTGTTCCAGCAGCACTCGCTGTATTGACCCCTGACACGAACATCTTACTATGCAACCACTCCTGACTAACAGCCCCTGACTATAGCCAGGCTATTATTTCCCCTCTGCTTCCAGCCGGAGTGATGAGCTCCGGCGTTGGACTTCCAGGACTAAAGTCTTTCAAACGTGTCCTGATTTTTCACCTTCTGACGGAAGGAAGCTTGTTTTATATATATATACACACATATAAAAAACTAATTTTCTCAAGCTGATATGACATGATTTCATTGAGCATGTGAAACGGTTTTAACGGCAGTGATTGTAAATGAGATGTTTTTTTTTTTTTTTGTGATGAGAGGATTTTGAGTCTCACAATGACAGCTTTAAGATGAAAACCCCGAGTCAGGGGGTCGAAACTGTATATCTTTGAATGTTAGAACTTGAAATGAAAACATGAACTTTTATGAACATTAAGGAGGCGATGTTTTCCCTCTTTTCTTTGTCCTGAACCAGCTGAGAGCCTATTTATTTTTTACAAGATGTTTCTCTTGTACTTTGAAAAAGGAAAAAAAAAATGTGAAAGATATTCTTTACACTTGTTTTGTTTCACCACTGACACAGATGAATGAAATGGTTTGTGAACTTTTTCTCTTATATTATCACTTTGACTGTATTTTCATGTTATGTTAGTAGGACACTGGCATTTTGCTTCTGTCGGATTCTAATGAAATCGCGTCGTTTTTAATTGTAAAACTAGCATTTGGTTTTTAGCTGAAAACTCGAGATTGCGTCACTATTTAGAGTCTAAAAAAGCCCGGAAACAGATTGTGGGGGCCGGGGGAGTCATCTCCTGCACTCTTGTTTGAAGGCCATAAATATTTGACAATTCAGATCCTTAAAAGCAATATGTAGCTCTGCGCTTTGACATTTAGACACACACCTTGTGATGGAAATGCTTAAACTACTGCACTAACCCATCTCATCGACCCTCACGTTACCTTGGAGAAGCATGCAAACTCGTGCCTTTGTATTAATGTTCCCCCCTCTAAGCCCCGACTCCTTTTCCAGCCTGCAGACAGAAAAGCGGCGTTCATGATCCATATTACTGTCGCTCCACTGAAATCATTTGAACAAAGATCTATTTTTGTGGTCAGCTCTAGAAAGCTGCCAAAAAAGAAGAAGAAGATACGGATATAAACATATGCACAAGTTATAAAGCAATGATAGGATTCTATATAAAGAGCAAAGTCTGAGTTTGGTGTATGTATTATGCACATGCCTCTATGTTAACACGTCCTGTGTTGGGAGATGTACTATTTCAAGCACAATGGGAGCTCTTTGTTATGAAATGTGACATACTGTGCTCTTCATAATAAATATTTTATACATACTGGATCCTTTCTCTCTGCCTCGCCCCCCGCCTGCCCCCACAAGGCGAATCACGCGAGGCGTGTCGTTCTGTTTTTGGCTCCACCGCTGACGGTAAACACTAATCTTTAAGACGCTGTAGCCGAGCAGGTGTATTCTTCAGCGTGAGCTTCTTATGTCAGATAAACCTCGCGGTTTTGCGCTCATTTAAGAGGATTCTTGGCTGACCCTCGGCTCGCCTTGATCCAACTTACTGCCACAGACGTGATAATCCCGCAGAAAGAAAATCAGCTAATGGAAACGGGCCGAGCTTCTTTACAGGAGAGTTCATTTTAAAACACAAATCAAATTAATTGCTTGCAAATCATGTTAGAAAAACACGTTCGACTTAAATCCCAGGAAGTCATGAAACTATCTTGATTAAATAGTTTGAACAGCTTAGAGATTGTGTATTTAGGGTCGGAATGATGTTTTCTTATTGATGGAGATTTCTAGCTGAAGTTTAATGGAACGAATGAAGCCCTTTTTAAAATTTGTGACTAAAAATCCCCGATAAGATTCTCAAACTATGGTTCAAGAAACGCTGGTGGACCTCCAGCCATATTGATTTGGACAGAAAATGTCAGGAAACCCGTTTGTTTTCTGGTTGTACGATATTGAAAACTAACCAGATTTGCTGCTTGTCTCTGTTATTAAGCCAACTACTATTAACAAGACAAGCAAATGCATCATGTTCACTGAAACATTTAACATTTCATGATGGCCCGTCGTTCTTTTTCTTGTCAGCATTAAATGCTACTATTAAAAAAAACAAACAAAAAAACAATTTGTCTCATCATTTGAATGTGTAATAACTTAATAATAGCAAAAAATAGCATTTATAAAATTGTAATATTTATTAAAATTATGGACATTTGACACATTGATAGTTAGACATTTTCAGCAGTTTTTACCAGAAACAAACTAATATAAATAACTTGTACTGACAGGTGAGTCAGGGTTCGTTTTCTCTTCCCATCGTGTCTGTAATGTAGAAGACAACAACCAACACTTAAGTGTGATTTCACATGTCTGCTACATCCTGACTAAATGTGTATAAAACAGAACCTGGGTCAGGTTTCTTACTGATCAGCAGCTTTTATCAGTAAACATTGCACTTCTCTGATTTACTGCACCACTGATCAATATCTTATCAAAGCCTTACAATGAAGACAGACTCCTTGGTCCAGCATTTGTTGTTGTTGTTGTTTTTTTTTTTTTGCTTTGTGGTGCAGCTCTGCTCCGCAGCAGAACTTTGGGCTGTGTTTCGGACACTAGGCGTGGCTGTTGGCCGGGTCGCCGCGGCTCTGCGGGTCGCCCTGGTTGTCCGGCAGCAGGGATTCTCACGTTTCCAGGAAGTCAAGGTGACTCACGGTGGGGAAGACGTTCGCTCAAGTCCAACCTGAGCAAAGCAGTAGAGGAAGGCGAGCATCGGCAGAGCGACGGTGGGCCACCCTGAAACGAGAGGCAACGTACTGGCGATCACAATCGCGGCGACTTAATCAGGTCTGTTTGTATAATTTCCTCCTCAACATAAATAAATACTGATCAGCTCAACTTATATTCAGTTCACTCAGGCTCTGCAATGATGCGTTTTTGTTCCTCTTTTGCTGTTTATAGCCAATTCTTGGAGGCTGGAGCGCAGGCAGCAGGTAAGGATGGCCGTCTGCGCCTCCTCCCATGCTGGCCTCCGTCCAAATGATCTCAGCAACCTGCACCTGCACCCACAATGCTTTTCAAGGGTCTATTCTCTTCTATTCATGTCAAAATTTAATCCACATACACATGAGCTGCTTAAAGTGCAGCTGAGCTGTCAGCCACTTCTCTGCAGCGAACAGTTCAAACAGGAGAATGAGGAGAAGGCGTTTTATTTTCACAAAGTTTTATCTTTTATTTGGAAATAGAGGTGAATATTGAGCATAACTCTGGAAAATAAGTGTACAAAAACATCTCTTATGCAGTTGACACATTAAAATTTGAGTAAAGGTGGTTAAGCATAATTGTTTTTGCAGAGACGCTCTCGCATCAATAACTGTAACAATCCTTCAATGACTGCGCTGAAGTCAGAATAGTTTTGAGTGGTTCTAAATTTGGCCCTGCAGCAAATGGAGACGATGCAGACGGATGCTTTCTGTGATTTTCAGAATTAGATTTTCAATGGAAAATATAAATCTTCTTAATGACGTAGCAAGCATGGTCATAAATATGTCACATATTTTACTTTTCAACTGAAAACAAGTATTTTGTCTTTATTTGACTTACCGTAAGCCAATTTGTGGTTCTGTCATAAAATGATATTTGGAATTCTAGATGATTTTTACAAAACTTTGGATGCCTTCTACATATCAACAACCATGGAAACCCCTGTTAAACAAACTTTGTTAAACACGATGAAGGATCAGGTAGTGGATAACACAACAGTAATATTTGATTTTGCCTGAACAGAAACCAGTTTGATCAGCAGAAAAAAAACATATTTTCAAACCCCAGTTTTTGTTTTCAAGAATGAATAAATAATAATAATAAAAAACGGCATTTTCTGCCTCGAACGGCACATTGAACGCTTTGAAATACCAGGAGGTTTTAAATCTGGTACGGTGAGGTGAAAACGGGTCATCATTGGGTGTTTCAGCAGGATAATGGCCCAAACCATGTGAGCAAATCAACAAAGAAACATTTCCCCAGACTCAAAATAAACCGTCTCTCACGGCCATCTCAGTCTCCAGAACAAAATACTAAAGAAAACCAGCAGAGTACATCTGCTGTTGCTTTAATTCTCTAAACATGGGCCAAACAAATGAACGCTCCACAAAAAAATAAATAAATAAAGATTCCTATCTCATTGCTGGAGTTGAGCTGAAAGTCAATTAGTTCGTCATTTTTGCTCCAGAAAATAATCTCTAGTTGCTGTTTGATGGATTGTCATCAACTGTTGTACAGTCGGTCTGTATACCAAGGGGATAAATCTTGTTGCCAATATTTCATTAGGCGTACACAGACAAACTGTCAAAACAGCTTTCGGTTGGGCCTGCAGAAATGTAATAATCATCCTGCCCTCTGGGAGAATCAGAGCAGCCCTTCACACTGACTGTAACGTTAGAGTCCTTCCCCCCAAGGGGACCTGGGAGAAATGCACACTCTGTCCATGGGCTCGGCCCACAGAGACGGGCAGCAGGAACAACTTTAGACGCACAGTGCAGACGGGAAATTGCAGACTTCACCCAGAGAGGTCAGAGAGCAATTACGCCGCTGCCAGAACAAGTGAAAATCCCAGTTGAGTTGATTTGAAAGCATTGATCTCATGGTAATCAAACCCTCCTGTTGGACACCAGAGGGCATGAAAAGTGCTGGATCAGTTACATTCAGAGCAGAAGAAGAAAAACAGAAAGGTTACTAAGCAGATTGTTGCAGGATTTTCTTCTTTTCTGAGAACACGTCGGACGCGCGGCAGGCGGCGGGTACGTTTATTCTTGAGTCACCTGAGTGGATTCTGAAATTATTTCCAATAATCCGAATATTTCATGAGAAAAATGTTCCAAACCCGAGTGACTTTGTTCCACTTTATAACTCTACAGAGGTTCAAAACAGATCAGGAAGAAGGTAAGACAATTTATTACTGTCACAACTTATCTCAAAACCGGAATATGATCTTTATCTGAGGTCTGCAAAATGGCGGCAACAAAGCATCTTCACACTTACTCTGCAATTTTTTTGTAGATTTTTTACATTTTTTTATCCGATGGCAGAAAGAGCACGAGGTGGAAGTCATGCGCGGCGATGCAGGGCGAGAGAAAATTATTACAAGTAAACTGTCAGGAGAGGCGGCCTGCAGCCTGTGTCTTACTGATTTTTAATGTCAACATTTCAAATTTCTCATTTCTTTCTTTGAATCCCTTACTGGGGTATTAGTTCAAAATTTTAATCAGATGAAAAACTAAATTAAACAACTGAATTCAAGGTACAGAAACAACCAATCAGAGCCAGGAGGAGGCGCCCAGAGCTGTTAATAATTCTCGTGTACACGCTGCTCAAGGCGGGGAAACAACTTATTGTTGCAGGTAAACTATTCATCCGCCATCATTGGTGGCTCTGCTAACTAGCCTTAGCATTCACGGCCAGAGTAGAAGAGCTTGATTGACAGCACTAAGACCCTCCTCCTGCCTCTGATTGGTTGGTTCTGACCAGGAGCAGATAACAGCAGATGCATAATCAAGCAGGCAGATGAGCTTGATTTTTACAGATTATCTGGCTCATATACTACTATCATGACATTTTGACAGATGTTTAATTACAAAAATTACCTACAAAAAGCTTCCACAACAAATATTTTGTCACACCATAGATATATTTCTCTGATCTTCACTAGAAAGAATCCTGTATTTTAAAAATTCTTACACCTACACCAAGAAACACAGTTTTTAAAAATTTGCATCAAACATTTAGAGGCTTTATTATGTCACTGTTAGGTTTAGTGTCTTCTAAAGCCTAAACACGTGAAAGGTTTAAAATAAACAAACTTCTTGAGGCGAAGAGTTGAATTTTCAGCTCTGAATCCTCTTCCCGGCCCCCCGGCCCAGCAGGGAGTGCACATTAGACTGCTTATCATTAATGGACAGGCTTCAGGAAGGCCTGCCATCTCGCTTTAGGTACCAAATGGACCAAATACAACCGCAGGGAGCGAAATAGGCCCTGGCACATCACCGAAGCAGATGTGTCCCTCCGACGTTCACGACTCTAATTGTTAGTTTCGGGTCTTTGCTCAAAGTAGCGGGAGGCTAGTCTGTGCACCTGCGTGGATAAATATTAGAGCATAAAGCAGCACCACGGCAAATAGTTGCACAATTTTAATTCCCATCTAGCTCAGGGCCGTCTTCGACTCCTATGAACAAAGACTCGGTACTGATGATCTAAAAAAAAAATCACCCCAACAACACGGTGGGATTAAAACATGCATTGTCTCTGTGGAGGTGCAATTTACCCTGAACGAAGACGCGCTTCCAGAAGATTCTGCCCACGTGCGTCCCCCCGAGGAACACCAGATTAGACAGGATGAGCATGGCCGTCGAGAAGGCGCAGAGGAGGGCGGCGCAGCGCCTTCGCATCGCCAAGGAGAAACTCTGCTCCTGGGAAATCAGTAAATAAATAAGCAAGACCACGAGACGCTCTCGTTGTTAGTCTGCGAGAGAGCCCAAAAAGCTGAAACAAATGATGCATGTGACCGTAAATTGGGAGGACCGCACGGCGCCCCATCAGAGTTTAGGACTATTTTGAGGACGAGCCGACTCCCAGAGGAAGCCGGCCAAGAAATTCCCGTTAATGGAATGCAAACGGCTCACAGTGATGTCGTACCAATTAGACGAGGCCCAATGGGTTCGTCTGCTCTCTGCGCTCTGTAAAGCCGATCAACAGTCTGCTTTATTAAATGTAATAACATGACTTATGCTGCTAATAATTTTCTCCCTTGTAAAATTCGTGGCGAAATTGGATCTGTTGGAGCTGCTGCTGCACAGCTGAAATTTAACGCCTTGATTAGAAACTCACAACTATGGAGTGAAGGCGAGCCGAGGCGAAGAGAGCTCTGATGCCGTTTTCCACCAGAACGCCGGCCCAGTTCATCAGGGCCCAGTACCGCAGGTAGTCCTGGCCGCCGTGCCAGAAGCAGACGAACGCAAAGGCGACGCCGGTGGAAAACACTTTGGAGAGAGGACCATGGCGGGAGCCACCCAGAGGCACGTAGATGTATCTTGGAAAAAATAAAAATAAAAAGTAAAACTAAAGGGTTTCACAAGACAAAATACAGGAAATATTACAGATATGACAACAAACCGGAATAAAAATTAGACATGCACCAAGACATCTGCTGGCGGCGAGGACGTAAAAATTCCAAAATTGTTCTAATGAGTGTCAGCAAAGCTTGAATAACTTCAATAATCTTTGGTGTGGAAGTTATTACTGTGGGAAGTTTACTATCCTCGCCGTCAGAAAAATGATTTAAAATTAATACCAGATGACGCAGAGCAGCCATTTAAAAACAAAATGCATTTCCTGAGCAGCCAGGCTCTATTCAGCCATTTACAACCATTTTGGACTCAAGTAGTTTGTACAATAAGCTCAGCAGGCATTTGCTGATTACTGCTGCTAGTCTGGAGGAGCAGAGTGGGACAAGGATCGCTCTGTGAGGTGGAAGATCGGCTTGACTACAACTCCAAGGAGAAGTTTTGTGGAAATAGGTGGAGCTTTGTAAGATATATGTATATATATATATATATATATATATATATATATATTATATATATATATATATATATATATATATATATGGGAAGTACAAGAATTTCTCAAACATGAATGAAAGAATCAAAGCAACATTCCAGGTATTTTTTGGATGACGGAATAACATTTGAACATAATTTAAACCTCAAAATGTTGATTTTTACATAATATCCCACCTTTAAGATTTTTCTCAGCGCTAGAGGCTTTTATTGATGAGAGAAAAGGAGAAAGACAGGCAGCATACCGTAAATAAGGATATCCAGTGATACAGAGCGAGGCGGGCTCTGTGACTTTCAGTTGTTTTGCAGAAAATCACAATTTTATTTTGGACAATTTGAAGCATTTGTTCAATTTCCAAACATTCCAGAAGTTAGAGGAGAAAAAATGCTGCTATCATACCTGGAATGATGAAATCTCGGCTGCCAATAACAGGCTGAACAATGCGCCGAATTGTCAGGAAGACCCGACACAGAAACTATTGTGTCATTTTCACCGTTTCTTTTAATTTCATACAGTCAAATGTGCTTTCAGTGGCTCTAATGTCCACTGAAAGCACAGAAGCACTCCAGGGAACAGAAATCCCTGCCAAGACGTTAACAATACGGCAGACTGTGTTAATGAATCCAAAAATAGAAAACCTGAGCTTCACACCAAAGCCTTGACACAGATTTGCTGCTCTATTGTTTTTCTTCCAATGTTTTCTTTTTTTATTTCTTCCATGGGTAAGTTTGCCCTTCGGGGTAATAAACAAGACGCGCGGTTAGATGAAAAAGCAGTATTTATGTTGTGTTACTTTATCAAACATTAAAAATTTAGTGTATAATTCATGCATGAGACTGCACTGTATGCGGTGTAAAAATAGCAGCGCCATGCTCCCGGGATAGCCCCACTTTATGTGCATAATGCAACACCAATCGGTGACAAATGGCTTCATATACTGGGAGCACCTCATCTGTCCGCGAGGAGCTGCCAGAGCCTGAAAAGCGCGACACACTCAACAAACATCTCGCTCTGTGTGTGTGTGTGTGTGTGTGTGCAGCATGCGCCCGCGCTGGAAACTAATTATCTCAGCCTCCCTGTGGCTAATCAATGTTTGTGAAAGATGAGCCAGCATTTTCTGAGCCCTAAATAGAGTGGCCAGCTCGGCCATATTGCCGGATGAAAGTCGGAGCAAAAACAGATGGAGAGCGTCAGGACCCAAGAAAACCGGATACCTGAACACGCGCGGTGTCGGCTCGTCGTCGGCGATTTAATTGGACAGAAAGGCGCTGCAAACAGATGTTAGTTAAAATATGATCATTTTTAAGACATACAGGACCGCCCGACTAATCACCGTTATGTAACACCAATACACTTAATGTAGGAGGTTCAAATAACGTGCTGTCAGGCGTTATGGAGCGAGCCATCAGACAGGAGGAGTGCTTTGTCATTATGGCTGCACCGTCAGGAAAAAGGACGATCAAAATGATGATCAAGACCTGGGACGGGTACTTCCTGAATCCGCCGGATACCACAGCAATCACTTTCATTGTTAAAAAACCAGGATTAGGTCAACAAAATTTATTCTGCCGCCAAACAAAAACACACACTGAAGTTTAGGAGCAGCTGAAAAATGATAAAACACAAAAAAAAAACACTTCAAGAGACTGCAGATATTCCAGTGTTTTATCTGCAAGCGCTGCCAAAACCTCAACACTGCAGCACGGGGTGCCAAGTAACTAGAACAGCCCAACATATGAAATGGCAAAATGTTGCTTTGAATTAAACGTTTGGCCAGAACTTGCATTTTCAGTGCCATGCATTGACGCTATGCATGTCGACTTCGTATACTTGGCCAGTTGGATGGTCTCTCGCTGTCCTTGGTGCTCAAGCAAGATGCATTATTTGGGTTTTAACTGTAAGCAACTGCACCAAAATAAATTACAACAAATTTCATCGGGAATTTTTTCCAGCATGCTCAACAACAAGCAGGGTGTGCAATATAATAGTAAGAATTTTGTAGAAAGGAAAAGTCTCTAGTATGCAGATGTTTTCCGGGCTATCCTATAATTTCCTGGAGTCGGCTGTCCAGAAGAAAAGCAAGATTTGTAATAAAATTACTAAAAGCATTTGAGTACACCCCAGTCTGGTTTTCAGTCACTGTCTATACAGTTCTGTGAAAAAGTCTTTTTCTTGCTTCTGCTGTTGCCGCCGTTTCTACAAGCCTTAAAATGGGGGAACTCTGTCTTCATAAGAATACCCAGAGATATGTCAGAGCATGCTTAAACCAGGCCTGACCTCGTTTCACACAAGACACGAACAGTATTTATATTGTCCGGTCGCAGGTAAAGTGGTGTGCTGCACTAGAACATGTCACCGTTGCTCTGGATTGCAGCTTCGGTGAATATCATCAGACTAAACACAGAGGAAGAAGAGAACCAGACCAATGATGTGCGGCTGCACTCGGAGGATTTGCCGTTAAAACAGTCGACGCTTCATTAATAATAGAAATGTCCTTTTTTAGACCAAGCGTGGGGAAATTCAGGATGAGAAGCATCAGATTATTAATAGGAGATAGTGGAAGATAAGAGGTATTCAGAATAAGAGGCTTCAGTTCACATTAGTAAATGCTGATATAAACACACACACACAAAAAAAAAACTAACGTTTTAGCGGCCGGTATGATGGGTCACATTCGTTTTTATTTCCCATGTTTACTGGTTTCAGCAACAAAGTTGAATTTCAAATTCCTATTTGCAATAATTGAGTTGGAACTATTCGTCTGATTTCCCAGTCAGTTTTTCCATGTAGACTAATCACACTGATTCCCATAAATATCGTATAATGTCTTTATCGAGTCCCTTTAGGTTTGTGTTAGTTTGCTTTCGGTGCGTTTCTCAGCGTTTTATTAGAAATGAGGTTCACGCTGTGAGGCCAATATTTCCCAGCTGGTGAACTGTGAAATATTATGGGGCAATGGGGCAGAAAAACCTGACCCATAAATGTCTGCCGCTCCATGCACTCTTTAAGGAGACCACGGCCTCGGCTGACTGACAGATCTGCAGGCCCTGAGAGGAGGTGACACCGCTTGGCTCTCCCAAACTAGAGGAGACGGTTTGTTTTGATGTAACCCAGAATAGAAAGGAGGTTAGATTTTTATGCAAGTTAATCGGTGTCTTTCTATGACTTTTAGGGACTGTTATTGACCTGACAGCTTTAGTATCTGTGCTGCATTTTATTTATTTTTTTTTTTTAAGGCGCAAAATTCTGTGAAAATACACTTTTTTTGAGATTTTATTCCTTCACTTGGAGCGTGACAATTAGCAAATATCTGCTGAGCTCACCATATACACTACTTAGTGCAATGCTCCAAACAACAGCTGTGAACGGCATAATGAGAAGCATTGTTGGGGCAACCTGCTGAAGACGGAGAATCAGAAAGAGAAGGAACTTCTTAAAGAGACAGAGACCTAATTTTAAGGTGTCAAATTTCTATTAAGTCGTGTTTGATAAGTACAGCTTTTTTACAACAACCCAGTCACTTGATTGTGCTTCAAAATGGCACATGACTGGAAAATACATACTGCCATCCCTTTAAATGAGGAAGATCATAGGAACTATGACATCTTTTGTACTCATCAACTGCAACTTGTCACATAAACACCCAGGAAAAGACAATATAATATTTCTACTGTACCATTTGTTGCCTACAAATGCAGTGAGTTGTAACCATTTTGATTACATTTTGTTCTGAAAAGTGGCTCCATTTCAGGTCCTTTATGATGGCTTTTGTTATGGAGCCTAAAAAGCTCTGAAGCTGTTTTATCAGATTCTCAGATGACATACTTGGTTTAGAAAGAGGTAAAGTGAACAACAACAAAAAAAACCCATATTTGTGATTTCTTTTTTTTTCTCAACTTCTAACATAATCAGAACCTATTCTTACGGTTGACCTCTCAACCTGCAGCCTAATATGAATATTTACAAAAGAAATTATTTGCAGGATCAAATGTCTGTCCTCTGTTGCAAACGTAATAACTCAATCAATCACCTCTGAGGAGCTTTCTTTCTTTTCTTTTTTTTCCCCAGCTGTACTTGATACCTGGTGGCACGGAGGCCTGGAAAGCATAATGCAATGGCAAAGAATGAGGCACTTTGCTGCCCAGGGAGACGAGGTGCCAGTGACTCATGTGGAGCACGTCGTTTAACACCTACACGCTCATCCGGCCCTCTTCAGACGACATCGGCAGAATTTTTTTGGAAACTGCATTAAAACGTCTTCAGAAGAGGAACCGTGGCGGTATTGTGTCATCTCGCATCTACAGAAGGATAATTGCACGCGATGCCATTAAGCAGAAGAAAACCCATTTCCAGTGGGCTCTGCTTAAAATGGAAACACGTTTGTTTGCAATTAAAATGGAAGGGACTTTGAGTGGATGAATTAGAGCTACTTTAAGAAGTTTGCTTGGTGTAACAACGTAAAAAGCAGATCTTCGTGGATGTGTCAGACTAAAGACGGGGTGGGGGGAAAGTAGCAAACAAATAAGCACCACTTTCACAGACTTTTTTTGTGTTCTGACAGCCGTGCAGCGGTAGAGTCGCTGCAACGCAAGAAATGTGCGTCTAACAAGCAGACCATCAACTCCCAGCAGGCTGCGCCCAGCCGAGTGTGCATCATTAAAAGAAAAAGCGAGTAATAATGTGTGTTGTCCAAAGTGAAAGTGAGAAATCTACAAACTCCTCCAATTACATGCACATATTAAACGAGGCGGCCTCTCTTCACGGTGCGGGAGCAGAGAGGCGACAGTGGAAACGCTCACCGCCGCACGAGCACGAGAAAGCAAGCACGCGTGGAAATACAGCATCGGGAAACACGTGAGCAGGCAGCGTGCGAACGGCACGCTCTTTCAAAAGGTTGCTCCGCTGCCAGGCTCAGAGTCCCACAGGAAATGCGCTCTTTAGAGCGCGGTGAGTGATGAGCACCAGGCAAAACTGCTGGCGATCATAAAGCAATAAAAGCAGACGGAGAAATTGTGATATAGACAACGCCTGCCATCTTTAGGGGGCATCAACGTGTGAGTTAGTCAGTCCAGCGCTGGTGAAGAGTCTCTTACCTGATAAGCCATCGATACAGCCCCTCGTCAAAGTGCCTGGGGCAGAAAACAAATGGATATTTCAGGCCCACATTTGCATATCTGCAGGTATCAGAGAGTCGAATTTAAGTGTTTTTGGGACTTTTTGTTAATTTTGCCTTTAATGAAATTTAAAACAAACAAACAAAAGCTACCTATAGAATGAACTTGCTACATTTCAATCAAGCATAGCAAAAACTGTGAACCCAGCTTGTGCTTCTCACACTGCATACAGCCTGAACCCCCACAGTGCCAAGCTTAATTGTTCTTTTACACCAAGCCTGGCATTTATTGGCAGCAGAAGCAGCACCAGCCAACTGGAGATAAATTTGTGGGGAATATTAGCAGCTAGTTCCTAGCCGCCGTACCCACCTCAAGTCATAGAATGCAATAAAATTGTTTGTGTGTGATTCATAATTTTGCCTGACAGAAAAAGTTTGAGCATAAAAAAAGAAATGATATTAAATAGCCCTACCTCGAAGAAATTTAAGACTTGTAGCAAACATATTGTTTTTATTAAGTCATTTTAAGGCCTTAATTTTAAACGAATGAATTTAAGACAATTTAAGGACACTGTGTACTCTGTACGTAGAAATAAAAAAACAAAACACAAAGTTATAAACACCTGAACGCTGGGCTTCCAACGATGTGAACCTTGTGCTGTAGCAAGACTGTCGGGTGTCAAGTGTTTGTGAGCCGGCGCTTTATCATAACAAAGATTAGATGTGGCAGCATCTATAAACTGAAACTGGCTTTTCAATGGTGTCGGCCGACAGCTTTATGCATTCTATCAATGTCGCCGGCATCGACCAGCTCAGCATAGAAGAGCCGGATTGGAGTGCACCGGCGTCAGCACATCGGCTCTGACTGCTGCAGAGAGGACATTTTATCATGCAAAGCCAAACGCATCCTGTCTCCACTTTATGAGCTCACAGTTAAGGAAGCATTACTCATGGTTAATTACGTCCAGGAGCAACAATGTATGCATCTGAAACGTGAGCAAATCTAAAGGCTGACTGGACTTATTGCAGTAAGCAAGTGGCCATCGGGTAAAACTCAAGCTGAGTTGCTACATTTCGAAGCTTTCTGACAAATAAAACCAGGTTTAAATTGAGCTGCATTTGGAGAGAAGTACAGTTGTCAGCTTCATAGAGGATTATAGGAAGCTTTATTTATTTATTTAGCCAACTTACACTCAAACAGGTTAAATTTAACAACAGAATCCTCCAAAATTAGCAGATCCTTGGAAAAGCTGAACCAAATAATGAACTTTGAAATCATATTAACAGGCATGAACCAATATCAAGTGGTTACATTTTCAGAGATTAGGTGAGAAAAACACAAATAATGTCATGTCACCAAAAATAAAAAATAATAATAATGTTTCTTTTATATTTAACTGTCTTTGGTCTTTATGTATACAGAATAATGCACATGTAAGAGGCACCACTTGTCTTTCAATTAACTTGAGCAATTGTGACCCCTTCAGCATTAAACAGGGATGAACTCTTCTGTAGCAAGAACACCTAAAATGCTAGGTGATAGTTTTTTGGTAAAATGTTGTGGCTTAATGTTCAGTTGCTGGCAGAAGACTCAAATGTAAACATTTATAAATAAATGCACCACTACTTCTCTGGCTGAGCTTCCTCCATAACTCCAGCTGCATAAATGACTGCTCCTTATGGCAGAATCGGCAGAGAAAGTTTAAACTGGATGTATTTCTGGTTTTCAGTCAGAATCCACTCATTTTCCTCAAAATAGTATTTACATAACGGCTTCCCAACATCGTTTTTGAAGTTTTATTTTTGTTGTGTTGTTGGAGCATCAACTTGCATCCAAGTTTCAACCGTCTACTTGTGACGATCTGAAGGACAGTTGAACAAATTTTGAGGTAGACCTCCTTCATCAATATTTCACCCACTTGGTGCATTGCATCTGGAAGCCACTGGGGAAAACAGCCTTACAAAATAGAGCTTAGCCGGTAGCATTATGTTTCAGTACCTGGCAGTGCTAATGTGCTACCTTCAAACTAAATACTGAACCTCATAAAGAATTGCAGGACTTTTTAAACCCGGTTCTGTATAACCAGAGAATTATGCAAATCAAGTTCACACTGTTTCCAATGTTTTCTCCATCTTACAATAATACTTAAATGAATGCCAATAATGTTTAAAAGACAAAATATGAATATTTTTTAAATTCCCTATATAAAAAATTAAATATCCGTAATTTAAGTCTCATGATTTACTTTGTAGTTTGACAAATGCTGATTAGTTAAAAAAAAAAAAAAGAAATCCAGTGAATTGGTTCCAGCAAACAAACCACTATAGTGTGAAGCACACACAGAGACACACAACTGCTGATGTGAGGACGACCCTTTGTCCTCTCGCAGGTAATGACTCAACATGAGACAATTTTCTCTGGCCAGTCTGGACCCGACTGCTAACACGGAGAGTTGCACTTTAAAAGACATTTTACGTCAGAGTTCCCTTTTTTTCCCTGCTTAAAGGTCCCGGGCTTTAACTTGACAATAACCTCCTCACTCACTTCACAACGAGCGCTCTCACCTCCACATCCCTGTGAAGCTGTGCATGATGCTGACGCAGCGCGGGAGCTTCGGGGGGACCAGGCCGTCCAAAGTGGCGAGCATGGAGGGAAGCCCAAACAGCACCAGGTACTTCACATAGAAGAACTGGACGAGAGCCAGGGCCAGACCCCCTGAGGCAGACAGGAGACACGGAGCGGAAACCATTTCAGGTTCTTCAGAGACAATGGATAGTCGTCCATTTAGAGAATGCAACAGAGGAGCAACAGCAGGAGATTAATAGCTGGAGTTTAACTTGGTTCGACATGATTCATGATACGAATTAGTGTATCTAACATTTAAAATTAACTTGGTGGGTTTTACAAGTAGGATGAAAAAGATAACTGAAGGCAAAAACCATTATTTAAGTTATTCTGTCAATTAACTTGACGGTTCATTGATTAATCGGATGAAAAATTGGCAGATTCTGACGGATTTTTTTGGACTAAATTAGAAATGCAATAAAAGATGAAAATAAATAATGTAATCACTTTTTAAAATAAAATAAACATTTTATCACCTAGACTGCAATAACACAGCATTCCTTTAGAGTATGCTTGATCATTTGTAGTAAAAGATGCATCTGCAGCAAAAAAAAAAAAAATCCTTTTAACATCAACATGTGAAAAGCTCATAGGCCTCTCCACCTGACTTAACATCAATACAGCATCTGTTGATTATCGTTTTAGATTAACCAATCAATAATTGGATGGGAAAAGGCGCTCAATAGGATTCTTTTTAAAGAATTTGAACTGAGTGAAGCTAAAACTAAGGAGTTTTGAGTAGAATACATTTACAGAAAAATGTATTAATGCAAAATGTGAATATTTTTGTACAGTTTTGCCTTAATTACTGGAATCATGTGGAACCCCTATCCACATGATAGGTTGTTGTTCTGCGGGTGTTGTTCTTTTAGCAAATGGCTCTTTTTGAGTCTGTGTACTCCAGTGAATCGACGGCTAAATTAGTTGACGATCATACCAATAAATCTATTTGTCACAATTAATTGTTTCAGCCCAAGCGAAAATTAAAATGTCTGAATGAAAGAGCTGAAAGCTGGCTGTCAAAGCAAAGTCGCCCACATCAGATTAATAAAATCATGAATCACAGATAATTAGCAAATGTGTAACAGCAGCTTCATCCAGAAGCTGCTAAGTCTTCTGCAGATATAATCTCTATATATTGTGCAACATATGTCTTCTGTGGGAGGAAAGTGTTGGATGTAACACCTCGTTTTAGCTGCGATGAAACACAACAAGCTCTGAGTGGAAAGGCTTACCCAAAGCCCACGGAGGAAGCATTTCTATGTAGGTCTCATTAGAGTGGATGGCGTGCATGTGCATGACATGGATCATGAATTCTGCCAGGATCCACCACAGAGCGACCCGGACTGATCTGACCACCACGAAGCCAAAGACAGATTCCTCCCCGCTGTTCTCGTCGGCCGATTTCCTCATCTGGCAGTGGAGAGACAGGAAGCACATACTGAAGGAGGGAAGATTGAACATATGAGAGACATGCAGGGGTTTTCAGGGGAATGGAACGTCTTTTTTTACATTTCGACATGTTCATCAGCCAGTTGGTTGCACTGTTTTTGGTTTTTTTGAGTCGTGCCAGAGTGCAAAGGAGTGTACACAGACTCTTTTACATATTTTTCACAATTCTGCACTTTGTGTGTTGGTCAGTCACGTATCATTGGCAAACATACTTGTATTGATGTCTTAATGATGGCACTCTACATATTTAAACATTTGTGACTGGTTTCAAAATTGCTCACCGTAAGATGGTATTTTTAAAAACGTTTTAAAAAGCACTTTAAAATGCCTTGTTGCTTAAATGTGCTGCACAAATAAACTTGACTGATTGACTCACTCACAAAACTCCAATAAAATACATTCAAGTGAAAAGTGACACAACATGGAAAAAGATGAAAAATATTCAGGTAAATGTTTTTGCGTAACATTGCATCTATGTATTGATCTCCCAGCTCAACTGTTTAGGTTAACTTTTATTTATTGATTTTGTTGTAGTAAATCATTTATTGTGAAGAATTTTTTATACAAGCATTTTGATTTATTGTTGTCCCAAAAACCCAAACTGTGTTACTGGAAATGTTGTTTTTATCATCTTCTGCTCAGCATCAATAAATATTAGTGAGTGCAAAAATATTATCAAATGCAGTTACAGTGTGTGGGTTAGTGTTATATAGCACTTCTTCAAGAAAATTATGTCCTTAAGAAACATATTTCAAAGCGAAATGTTTTTCAAGAACAATATTTGTGTTAGACAGTCAGACAGGTTTCTAAAAAAGCTTTTTATTTAATCATCATTTTAATCTTTTTTTATAACGGTAGCAAAAGATATCATGATAAAACCCTAAGTCAGTATCGTCCACCCATAGGTCAGTAACAAAATCCCAATAAAATGCACTAAGTATGTGGTTGTAATGTGACGAAATGTAGAAAAAGCTCAAAAGATAAACATAAAAATGATTTTGCAGCATATTATATCTAAACAAAACGTATTTACAAAGCCTACATTTAAAGATTACAAAAGGTTCACGATATAAAGAGACAAGAAATGGCTCAACTGCAACCAAAATTGGTTTTAGTGTTTTTAAAACCAGAACCCCAAGCCTGTATTGCAACACCAGAAGAGGCAATTTTACCCTCACCTGCTCAGCGTAGGCTTTGAAAGTGATAATGGGTCCATTGTAGAAGAAAGGATGATAGAAGGTGTATGAAAACAGCCAGAAGAGGTGCGCGACTCGACTGCACTCAAAAGGGCTCCAGCAGTGCTCTAGGCTGAAGCTGATGAATCGCAGGCCACAGACAGAAACGCTGAAAAGTAGCAGGTAGTACTCCTCCTCTGTGCTGTACCAGCCTCTCTGAGTAACACAACGGTTCACATTCACTGGCAATTGTGACGAAAGTCTTACAGTACATTCAATGTATATGCTTCTCAAAAGGAGAAGTTTGAAAGTTAGGCCATCTCTTTACAAATCTATCTTTAACCGAGGGGTTTCTTTAGATCAGGGTTGCTTTGCTTAACTTCAGTACCGAGCTATTGTTTCTATGATTAAATCATACATATTTTCATGGCTTGCTAGTTCAGCTTTTGTTGTTTGTTGCATTTCCAGCAGTAAAATATCATAAAATGTTGAATTCAATCGATTCAGACTGCAATAAGGCTCAGAGAGAGGAAGGGTGCGCCAAAGAAATTCAACAAAACCGAAGAGGAAAGCCTCAATAGCTCAACATCTTCTTAGTATATTCTGCCCTCTTGTGTTATTTGGGGGTATAACATTCAGTGAAAATAAAAGACGTGGATCTGCTGTAATAGGTAAAAAAAAAAAAAAAGATTCATTAAATGTTTTAGCTTCTGATTAGGAACCTGACGCACATTTTTGTTTTTATTTACACCTCCACTCAGCCAGAAATCAAGATAAGTGTAATTATCTTGATGTTATTTATGGTATAAATGCAAACAAACAAACAGCCTCAAACATTAGGAAAAAGCTACCGTGCAGGACACACAGCTCACCTGGATGTCTTGCAGTGGCTGGATGTGAATTGTGGAGAGCAGCAGAAGGTTAGTGATCCACGCCAAAGAAGGCTTTCGCAGCTGGGCCACTGAGAAGGCAACGGACAGCTGTAGAAGCAGAACTCCCACACCCTTAAAGCCCAGCAAGCTGCTGGCTGCCAAGAAGTCGAACACTGTGAGCGCAAGCACCTTAAGCTGTCGAGACAAAAAAATAAATAAAAAAATACAGCTATCCTTCAATACTGTGTTTGCTTTAAGTGTAGCGTAGGATCACCTCACCTTTGGGTGAAAAATGGCCGCCAATCTTGATAACACGCCATGACCAACTAGAGTCCACAGTAAAGACTTTTTGGCCCACTCAGTCCAGAAACTCCACTCAAAGTCAGACGGGTCCTTTATTTTAAAAAATAAATAAATAATAATAATCAACTTCATAAAACATAAGCCTCTCTCATGCTGGTCTTGTATTACTGGACTAATACAGAGAGGCACTCATGTTTTATTATTTAAAATTATAATCAGATATTAAATATTGAGGATTCATATCCCTTGAACTCTTTACATTTTTCCTTGTTACAGTCACTTCGATGCATTTTGTTTATAACTGCAGAGAAAGTGGCTTTACAAAGTAGTTTATTGACACAGATGGACAGAAAATATTTCCAAGCACCTCAGATTTTAATTATTAAAAAAAGGAACTAATCTTTTCAATGCACTTTACAAATTAGGTGCTATCTTGTTTGTCTATGAGATCAAATGAAGGTTTGTCATTAACCTTGATTTGATTTCCTCACCACTACTCCACTGTGCATAGAATTGTGGTGTTTTTTTAAATGTCACTTCTTAACTTACCCTTTTGAAGCTCTTAAAAAGGCCATTTTCCAACTGGACCTCTCTCTGTAAGCCAGCTTCATGCTCTGAGGTATAAATCAGAAAAGAACAGTGACATTTTCCTTATTCTTATTTCATCCAATCCACTGTAACAACTGCCGTCTAGTTTACCTCTGGAGAACTTGTGCAGCTGGTAAAAAGAGTAAAAATGAGAGCCCAAAGAGAGCAGCCAGTACACAAAGATCTCAGGCCATGGCAGCGGTGACAGCTGGGATGGCATCGGGTAATGTCACTCTGCTGTAATGCCTCTGAAACGGATCGAGTCAGATACACAGATTTAGTCCGATTTATTTCTTTACAACACAGCGACTGCCAGTTCAGTGAGGGTTGACCCAGTAGGCTAAAGGATAGTCTCGAGATCAGGCTCAGTTTAGTACTAATGTGTGAGGCAATAATTGTTTTAAGCTCAAAAACATCTCAGAACTCCTGGTCAGGTATAACCCATGTGGACCTAACCTGACCACTGCCTTCCTGCGCGTTTCAGAAACTTGTTTGGATCAGAACTAAACCAGTAAAAGCAGCATTTAGTTTCTTTGCTCCCTGGCTTGAGAGCAAACTCCCTAAAACCAAAGGGTGTGCAGAAGCCGCTGGTTCCTTTAAATCAAAACTGAAAACATTGCTGTTTCAGACAGTTTCCCCAATGTCAAATTAATTTTAGCAGCTCACTTTTATTCATTTAAAAATGGTTCTTTGAGTTTTTCATTTGATGTTCTCTTTTTTTTTTATGTTTTTTTTTTATTAACTTCTGATCCTTCGTTTTACCTATTTAAACCTCATTAAATATCAAAGAAAATACGAATATTGCAATCAAAATGACTATTTAATGATTTTCTTCATATTAAGTTGGTTTATATGTCTTTAGGACAAATCCAGAAGTAAATACAGCATTAAAATATTAACTTCAGCCAACAAACATATTTCAATTATAAATATTTGTGAATATGAGTTATTTAAAAAAAAAACTAAAAATGCCTTTATGAATAATAATAAATCCTTTTCAAATATGAAAATGATTTTAAATAAACTAAACGCCATATTTACTGTTTTACACTAGCAGATCATTTAAAGCAGCGGAATGCTTGTAAAAGCTTCATACGTACCGTAAATCTTGTAAATACTTCCCACAAAGGTTTTAATAGCTCCAGCTTTCCGAACTGGGAGGTTTCGCTCGGTGCTGTTGTTTCATGCTTTGAGAAATACCTGTGATTCCTGAATGTTTGTAAAACAAATTACACTGTTTTCGCTTTGCTAACTGAACCCGGAAGCCTCCATAAACTAATTGAGTCTGTGAGCTGCAGGCAGACTGACTTATGAAGTTACCGTATTAACTCCTATGGACTACAGGCCATTGATAAACTGGACTGCTCTGCTTTAAAGTGGTTTCACATCAACTCCGAACAACAGCAGCAGCGGGGCGCCTTCTTCTTCTTCTGTTTCATTGTCGGGTTGCAAACAACTTCACAGAGTCACACCGCCCCCTACTGTACAACCTCACAGCCTGCAACTGCTAATTTGCAGGCTATGAGGTTACGTAAAAGTGACTGAGAATATTTTATTTATAATCCTGATTCCTGTTTAACAGCTTCTGTCCCTTAAAATCCTTTTATATTCTGTATTTTATTTACTTTTTCCTCATTCCCTGTTGTTGTACTTTTCCATTTCACTATTAAATAAATAAAGATTAATTTAAGTAGCAATGAACAACTCTCAATCTTCATTGTTACATCTTCCCTCCTGTTTTTTTTCTCCATAATTATTTTTTTTGTAAATGTTTGTCGTTAGTTTTCTTCCTTTCTTACCTCCATTGCATATTGTCTTGTTTATATATATATATTTTTTTCTTAATTATTGATATTCCCTCCCCTTTTCCAATGGGAGAAGTTCTGTCATGTTTCATTTCCAACTGATTGGCATATGGATTTCATTTAATAGATGTTTCTTATGGTTCTCTTACAAGTAGATTTTTTCCTAACCTTTGTTATAACCCGTCTTGCCATACATGGTGTCTTTATTTTTTCATTTATTTTTAACATATATATATATATATATATATATATATATATTCCCCACTAAACAAACAAGTTGAAATTAAAGTTAACTTTTTTCAATTTCAAAGTGTGGTTATGCCTTCAAGTTCAAAGGTTTGAATCAACTTCTCTGAAGAACAGTGGAAATTGTTTAAGTCCACAAAATGGATTTAAGTTTTCAGTCTTTTCATCGCTCAACAAGAGGAGGGTTTTTATTTTGGCAAAAGTGATGTTGCTTCACTAGGGTTTAACAAAAACTTCCATTCCAAATCAGACATCATTGCGGGCTGTGTCCATACCACCACACAGAATCGTTTTTTAACAACAACAACAACAACAAAAGCAAAGGGAAATCACAAGTGAAGAAACATTTTAACATTGAGGGAGCACACACAGACATCACATAGCCGAAATCTCAATCTCCATCCATAAGTTTCTCTTTTCTGCCAGTTGCATCATTTAGGCTTGACAGTCGAAGCGTCTGCAGCTTTTCCTTTGCAGCTCAATACAGAGAAAATGACGAGCATTTACACTTTCTGTTATTCACACCGAGTCTCTCAGTTTGATCAGTTCTACACAGCCCCTTTTAGCTCACCTTCAGCGTTCGCCCGTGTGTGTGTGTATGTGTGTGTTTGGGTGTGTGTGTGCATGCTAAACTTAATCCATACAGTCAGGCTAACGTGGAAGTAATGGCAATCACAGTATCGGGTTTTCACAGCTCGTCTGTTTCTCCGTCGAAGGGCACGGCATCCGTCTCCATGTGGATGCTGCTGGGCTCGTTGCTGGTCACCCAGCCGATGGGGGTGCGGTTGAAGGAGGGACGGCAGCTGATGTCGTGTTGGTACACCACCGCGGGTTCGGGCTCCTCTTTGGTCACCTCGGTTTCTGGCAACTGGAATTTCATGAGCTGGTTGGCCTTTTCGAAGCCACCGAACGGCATCGCCATCCTAGCCGGACAAGGTTTGGAGAAGGAACAGATTAATGCCATAGTTTGTCGTCGCAAAGCAACACAAAGATACAATTTGAAATAATAATAATACATAGTATAGAGGGAGCCACCTATTGAAGCTTTTGTATTTGGGCAAGTCTTTTCGCTCAATGGGGCCAGGCATTTCAGATTTTAGGGTGGATAGTAGGCCCTCGTCACCCTTCATGGCCTTCTCCCACGGTGAGATATACGTCTTTACACCAACCAGCGTCTTACCCTTGCCGTCTTTTCCAGCTCCTGAATGAAAAAACATCACATCTCAATCAAAAGAAAAAAAAAAAAAAAACGTTTTTTTTTTTTTTTTTTTAAATCAGAAACAATTAGTTTTCTTGTGGCAAAAAGGATGTCGACATTTTCATACAGTGCCTGGCAAAAGTCTTTGTATCCCTTATAGTATCTCATATCTTGACATTAAAACCGCAAACTTCAATATGTTTTACTTCATGACAAACACAAAAATTGTTGCGTTTTCGAACATCAACTCGGAAACTGGGCTGCGCGTTCACATTCAGCCCTGCTAACTCTAGTGCAGTGAAGCTATTAAGCACATGGAATCTGCCCGTGTGCAGTTCAGTCAAAGTCTAAATCCAGCTGTTTTGTGAAGGACTCACATGTTTCATAGGGAACATTACCAAAAGAAAAACAACAACAACAACAACAACAAAAAAACAGAATCAAGACCAAAACATGTTAACTCTGGAAGAGCTGCATAAATCTACAGCTCATGTGGGAGAATTTGGAAAAACTGGCTTTTATAGAGCAACAGCAAAAAAAAAAAAAAAAAAAAAAAAATATATATATATATATATATATATATATATATATATATAATATATATATATATATATATATATATATATATAAAGCCAACTGTAAAGTGACACAACTTGAAACATTTCAACATTTGGAAAAAAAAAGTTTGCATCAAGAATTCTTTAATGAAAACAAAATGTTTCAACCTTTTGAGGATGACCACGTTGCGTCTCCTCTGATGCCCTTGTCGACTCCTGCCAGTCCTCCTTCTCCTGCACCTCCAACACCGCCTGCTCCTCCTGCTCCTTTGCTTCCGGGCTTGGGAGGAGGCACTGGTGCTCCTCCTCCCACAGGTGAAGCTCCTAAATACAGATGTCTGGTCTCTTTGCTTACATGGTGGCCTCCGACATTAATAAACTGACCTCCCACCTGACCCCCCAAAGACGGAACAAACTTCTGGAAGTCTTCCTGAAATATGAGAGTTTGATGAAAATGGAGAACAAAAAGTACAGGAGGACAGAGTCATTAGTGATGCTGAAGTTTCTGAGTATTTCACAACACATTCAGTTGGAATCCAATCATGAAAATGTAGAATATGAAAATCAACATATTGATGTTGACGTTTTGGATAGTCTTGGTTAACTTGGTTAATTTCAAGCCTTTAGGTTCATGTTTCTTAAACTGAATGCTCATGAGAATGATATAGGCGTTTATTTTTCTTCTTAAGATTGATAGATATTTCAATGTGCTGTGTGACAAACTGCATCAATGTTCAATTGAAATGAACAGAAAAGCCCTCTGCTTCTGGTTTCGCCTCACCATCGAGTTGTTGGTGAAAACATCCGGGTTGTTCTCGTAGATGAACTTCTCGACTCTCTGCTGCCGCATCTTGAACATCTTGGAGCCTCGGTTCTTCATCAGGGAAAGCTCCTCCAGCATGATCTCTTTGGGAGTCCTGATCTTTGTTCCCAGATCGAACTCGGACGCCTCCGGATCCAGCTCAAACTCTGCAGAAGATGCAGGAACAGGAATGGTTTCAGCTGATCAACAGCAGCCTTCCGTGGTAGTTGCTCTTTTCCAACAGCATTTTAGTGAACATTGCATTTTATCAGTCAACGTTTTGCAATGAATGAACGAATGAATCAGTCAATCAATCAGTCTATAAGAAATACAAATCAAAACCAATAAAATCAAAATACTAGGACAATTTGAAAAGATAAATATAATATATTTTTTAAAAACAAATGAAAAACAGACATGTTTAATAAATTATTATTACTATCATTATTATTAGTAGTAGTATTATTACTACTACTTCTACTGAGACTTATTTTAGGATGCCAATTTAATCAATTATGCTGTACATAATTTTCCTTTGTAATACAGTTCATATTTTGATGAAAGTTCATTACATTTTAACAATATTATTATCACCATGAAGTCTTGAAAAGTTTTGAAAACTAAGGTGAGACTTTATTCAACGTCCTTCTGCCCCTCCCTCTTTGCATCCTTCTGTTTTTCCTTGTGTTGCTCCTTCCTTATACAATGACTTCCTTCCTCACTTCCTTCCTCTCTCTTGTCCTTTCCTTCTGCCCTTCTTCTGTTACTTGTTCACTTTCTTCTTATCATTTTTGTGTCTTTTCCCTCAGTGTCTTCATGCTGTTCTTCCATGTTGTCTTGCCGCCATTTTTTTCCATCAAAACCTCTCTCACTCCTTCTTCTCTTCCTTCTTCCTTCTGTCTTTTCATTATTTCCTGCCTTGTTCGACCATTTCGGTCCTTCTTTCCTCCATTACGTCCTGCCTTGAGTCTTTCTATTCTTGCTTGTGTCCCACGTCCAACCCTGCCTGTCTAAATTCTTAGAGAATCTTTGTTTTATGCTGTGAAATGACCGTAAAGTATGAGAGAAGTCTGGGAAAAGAGTTAGAATTAGAGTGAAAGGCTTTAATATTGTTTCACAGCACATCGTCTGCAGTGTCCAACCCTCTTCTGTGTCTGTCTACGCCCGTTTTACGTCCTGAAAGGCTTTCACTGAGCAGTGGTAATTTCATATTCACATCATTTTACGTCAGCCTTACCATCCTGACTGATATGTGATAGGTCGGTTATGATCTTGGAGGGCTTTTTCCGCTTGTTTAGGGGGGCAGGTGTTCCCAGAGGCATGGCTGGAGGGAGAGGGAGAAACCGTAGAACGTTACACGGTGGGTACAGAAATGCAGGACAGCATTCCTGCATTTGAAATATACTAGGCAAGAAAAAAAAGGGCTTCAAAAGATGAAATGCAAGCCGCAAACGGTTCTGAGGGCACAGATGAGGAGGGTTAGAAATGGTTTTAATTTACGGCTAATCTCCACCAGCTTCTGAGCGTTACTTAGGATCATTAACACCACAGCCGACCGCCAACCCCTGCAAGCTCAAAGGAGATCAATGTGACACACCTGCACACAACACACGTCCACCTAATTCTTCACACTCACGGGAAGTGTCAGAGCCTCTGGATTCCTCGCATTCCCCCGTGGGACGCACGTCTTCCCCCTCAAAAGAAACATTTAGCTCAATCTGTGCTAAGCTTCAGCAACTCTGGATGTTGCCACTATGCAACATCCAGAGTTGTTTGGGGACACAA